CCCCGTGCGAGTCACAGAACCGGGGGGGGAGCGGGGGGGGAGCCGGGGGCCGCCCCGTTCGACCCCGACACCGCCAAAGCGACTGGGGCAGGGCAATACTTAATTCCATGTTCCCTGGCTCGGTGGCTCGGCGATTTTTTAATGAAAGTCAAAACGAGGCATCATAGAATCGCTTAGGCTGGAAAAGACCTTTAAGATCATCCAGTCCAACCATTAACCTAACATTAACCAAGTCCACACTAAACCAGTTAAGGGGAGAGTGGCAATTCCATGTTCCCTGGCTCGGTGGCTCGGCTATTTTTTAATGAAAGTAAAAACGAGGCATCATAGAATCGTTTAGGTTGGAAAAGACCTTTAAGATCATCCAGTCCAACCATTAACCTGCACTACCAAGTCCGTCACTAAACCAATTAAGGGGAGAGTGGCAATTTCCTGTTTCCTCGCTCGGTGGCTGGGTTAGTTTTTAATGAAAGTAAAAACTAGGAATCACTAAGTTTGGAAAGGATCTCTAAGGTCATCAGTCCAGCCATCAACCCAGCACCCCCATGCCCACCAAACCATGTCCCAAAGTGCCACCTCTGCCCGTTTTCCGAACGCTTCCAGCGATGGGGACTCCAGCACCTCCCTGGGCAGCCTGTTCCAATGCCTGACCACTCTTTCAGTCTTCCACGGGTTTGGTGACACCAGCAACATTCATCAGCCGTTACCAAAAGCCTGCTGTGGGAGGGGGCACGTGAAGCATTAGTAAACTAACATCCCACAACGCTGCTCATGTTTTTCTCTCTATTTATTTACAGTGCAGCCACAGAGCACATGTGTCCCCATGCAGAGCTTGTTACCCTCCTAATGGAACGGAAAGACATGAAAGAAACACACTTTTTTTTTTTTCCAAAATATAACTTTAATATATATATGCATATATACACACACACACCACACACACACTATATAGAAGCTGAAAGAATGCAAAAAAAAAAAAAGAAAAAAAAAAAAAGGATGTTTCACAAACTGTTGTAAGTGTGCACAGCATCTGGGTTTCTAAAAAACCCCACAGCAGCTCCCTTTCTTACCTGCTTCATGATTTCATGTTTCACTGTCATCAAACCGCAACCCAGAGCCCACGTTCACTGAGCAAAATCACAGTCAAATGAGTAAATGAAGATAAAGATGAAACATTTCTCAACCCAGTCCAGTGTCAAAAAAAGCTTAAAAATCTAAATGTACAAATTCAGCCTTAAAATGGTTTAGTGCAAATATGAAAATTAACAGCATAATTTCAAGGTATTTAAATAAGCTTTAATATAACTATAGTGCTTCGTTCCTATACATGTTTTCCCATCAATAGATGCAACAGCATGGGGGCATTTCTTGTTAAGAGTGGGAACAAACCCAGAACCTGGGAAGAAATAGCATAAAGTCATTTGTTAAGTCATTTATTTGTATTTCACCTAAGTTCATTAAAGGGAGACAGGGTATTTATTAGCGGAGGAGCAAAATATTTATCAATGTACTGATTCTGGAGTGGATGGGCAAGGGGAACGGGAGCGAGGGGGGTCAAGAAACGCTGTCCCTTTTCCTGACGTTCAGCACACACAAATGCTGGTGGTGTAGATCGTCCCATCGGGGCGCACAGACAGTCCATCCTCCCGGCCACGCGTTGCATTAGAAGGTCTCGTCGTCATTGCAGTCGGCCGTCCAGTGCCCGAACATCTCGCAGGTATCGCAATAGGGGCGTTCTTCTCTCCTGCTGCCGTGGTAAGCCGAGTGGGGTGGCTCCTCCAGCATCTGTGCCTGGGTCGGACAGTCTTCAGTGTCGTGAAGATCAAAGCAGCCGCAGATATCGCAGAAGAGGCGAGGTTTCTTCTTTGACAGGCTTTCTTCCTCACTGCAAGATCAACACCAGGGCAAGTCAAGCAGGGTACTTCTCCTTCGTAAAGGAGAAAGGCCTGCTTCCCTGCCCTGCGCAATAACCTGTCTCATAATTATTGAAACTAAGGAAACACCACAGTAGTCAACAAAAACATAACAAAAACAATTTACAAAACCCCTTCTGAAGATTTTTCTGACATCTTTACTACCTTGCAGTACCTCCATATTCCCTTACACTACAATATTTACAAAACAAGCTGCTCTGTTTGTGTAAATATTTCTGCTCTGTTTGTGTAAATATTTGCACAAATACAGACCTTATTTTAAAAAGAAACACATGTAAACTAGTTTCTCTTTTCTCTTGATAGGGGAGATCTGAAGTCACAAGATATCAAATAGGTTTCAGTTCTGTTCCTCTGGACTGGATCACCCCCTCTCAATGCAGCTACCGGCCTCTTGAGAGCAAAGACTCTTCTACTTAATTTGGAAAGGGCCAAACTCAACCAAGACTGACAATAAATATGTTATCATACATCAGTGTTTGTTATCGATAATTACAGAGGATCATTTTGCACCACCAGCTACACCGCAGTGATGGACCTAAAAAGAAGGCTGGATTCAATCACCCTAAATTCAAGGGGAAGCTCTGTTTGTCCTTCCTGACAGCTGAAATCAGGTTGGTGCATTGTGCAGCTGATAGAACTGACTGCTACCAACAGTTCCCAAAACACAAGCCAAGGTTTCCTTTAGGGATTTCTACCTGTCATAGTTATTTATCTCCTCTTCGTTGCCATTCAGGGCTGCTTCACACATTCTTTGTATTTTCAAGTTCAATTCTTCGTTTCTCCTTTGCAGATCTACTATCACTGAATTCAGGAAGTCAATCTAGGATAGTCAAGAACAAGGACAGTCAGCAGGACTGCACTTTGGAGAAAGCCAGTGACAAAAGAATGGCCCTCGAACTGACACGTGCAGATCTGCATTAACTCGTACCGTTGGATCGTTGTATTGCAAAGAGCACCCATGGACACTGAGAGAAAAAGGGGTAGGAGCTTCCCGAAGACCCCTGAGACCCTCAGTATGATTTCTGTCCAGGGAGCTAGGTAGTTCTGCCCAGCCAACACATCTGACAGACATCGGTGGGTCTCAACCCACCACCGACAGATCGAGTTCTTTTTCTAATGTTACACTTTGAACATAAATCCAGTTGTGTAATTCTGATCACAGCAGCGTCTCTGTTCCTCTGAGCCTGCAGCTCTAGGGGCTGGTCTCAGAGCTATCCTGGAGGGGCAGGGGGACAGCGCAGCGCACCCGTACGGCATCTCCCAAACCTAGTCTGAGCCACAGGATCAGTCAGCCATTACTGCAGCAGCACTGCTGAACGTAATCAAGTAATGCTTGGCAAAGGGACATAGTGGATAAAATAAAGGAAGCCAAGAAGTGGAACAAACCTCGTGCTGATTGGAAGGAAGCGGTGCCATCAGCACGCGAATTCAAGGAGGCAGAAAAACAGAAAAAGATTGGTGGTTAGTGTATGCTAATTACACTACTTCTGTTCTCTGTACAGATCAGGAAGGACTTTTTTTTATCAACACGACTGACATCAGTGATCTAACAAGGACTTTTATAACAAGCAGAAGGTGCTTCTATTCTAATCATGTTTCCTAGGCATTTGTTGTCACAGGCTGCCTGTTGCACGGCAGCACTTCACATGTTCATTATGATTATCATACTCTTCGATACACATTTTTCCTGTTACCAAGCCCACGCTAACTGAGCAACTTCCTCGCCCTGTTGCTGCCAACCTGCATTCCGAGTAAAGTTCTGCAGTTAAGAAGCAGCAAAGATCAACATTTTCAACTGCAGAAGCTCAGAAGTAGCATGGGAGCTCAGGTAGCCCCTTTCTCCAAGATGGCAAGTGCCACAGATTCAGGTGGGCCACACCTTATTCCTTGTTCACATCCAAGAAACCTTTGGAAAGGATGGCAAGGAGCAGTTTATGAGTGTGCTCTGTTGGGCTGTACCTCACCAACGGGCTGCAGGTCAAAACTTGCCACCTCTGCTTTCCTCCTTGCTTTCTCATGTTCCGATAACCTGAACTATTTCTTCAGTATCACTCATCACTTGATTCTTAATATTTACTGTCATTAGTATTTCCCTTCAGGAGCAGAAGGTTACAAGATAAATCTGCCCATTATAATCCTGATTTACAAAATCTGACAGTAACTGTCTTTTGAAAAATATTTCACTCTGCCTATAGACACACTGCTGTTGTAGCATGCTGATGTTTCAGATCAAATACCTGCTTCTCTTTTGCAATTTCATCTTGAAGTAGATTAGCAGCAATGTCACCTTTAAAGAAAAAAAACAACAAAAAACCAAACAAGGTATAAGTATCCAGTAATCTAAATATGAAACATACAATGGCTTAGTCAGAGACTGAAATAATGTAATAGTCTCCAGTCTCCAAAACATCCTATTCTTGCTGCTTTCTAATCACTCAGTATAAGCCTCGGTAAGGGTGACTTCTTTGGGGAATTTGACCGCTGCGTTACAGAAGCATATTCAATACCACACGTTACTTACTAAAATACAAAAAATGTATGTATAGGTGACAGCTAACATTCACAGGTCTGCAAAGGAACGCTCATCTGTTGAGAGATGAGACTATAGTGGTACGAAGCTGAAGCAGCTCAGCATAGGGTAAGCACGAGTGCCTGAAATGTGGGATTCCCAGTCCTGGGCTCAGGTAAGTGGTTTTGTTACGATGTCTACACGTTACTTTGCAGCTACAGCAAGGAAAACCAAATCAGTCTAAGAGAGGCTCTTGCACAGAAGCCCCACCACAAACAGGATGAAGTTTTATGCCTTACGCACATTTCATTTCAAGTCAAATTGCCCCCCACCCTGGTGTAAATGGGGTTAACTGGCAATGTCAGGAGCTTTCATATTTTGCAGCTGGTCAGATTTCTTTCAATCAAATCTTACGTGTGCTCTACAACAGGAAAGTCACATGTCTCGGGAGGTTCAATTAGTGAAACCTCCTTTTAACTATCTGGTTAACAGTTGCAAAAATCTACAAGATTAAAGCCGAAGGCCCAGAGACAAGTAAAGAGGCTCTCTCTTTTACCTGAGGAGCTAGTTACAGTTAAAGGCTGTTCGTTGTTTTCCTTGAGTTTTTGCTCCAAGTTCTTCACCTTTTCCTCAAGTTTCAATTTGTCAGACTCCAGTGACTTAACCACTGACTGCAAGGTTTTTGCAGAAGCGTTCTCTCCACGGAGCACCGTGATCTATAAGAATTATTTAAGAATGCTTAGACCTTCCAGAATGAAGTAGTAAGGGCTAAATAGCCAGCAAAAATACACACCAGAAGTCACCTAACTAGGCACAGGTATCTAAAGATTTAATACTAAGGTTTAACTATGCTAAATTAACAATTAGCCAAGTCTTCAGTAGCAAGCATACAAAGCCATATGCTTCTAGCCATAACTTAATCCAAAACGAAGAATCATCCCACTGTTCCTCATTTACCTCATTTCTGAGTTTTTCCAGTTCCTCATCTTTTTGTGTGATCAAGGCACTAGTAACACTGATGGATTTTTGTAAAGATGCTCTCTCTTCATCAATTTCTTTTTTTAATGTTGATTCTCTAAAAGAAAACCAAATACAACCAGAAATCATCTAAAGAATAGATTACTGTAGTCACCTGAAGATGTTTAGTTTAATTTCAAGTATTAGACTACTGTAAGAAATGGTTCTTAAAAAGCAAATTTCAATTCTGTACTTGACTAAGGTTTTATACACGTATAAACATTTCAGATGTTACAACTGTGGAAACAAAGCAAAAACTTTACCTAGGTAGTACATGCCAGAATCTGCATATCATCATATCCATTTGAATTTAAAGAAGCAAGTTAATAGACTGGGGAGATACAGGATAAACAAACATGTTGCACAATGTTCCACAAAACCTAACTTCAGAGTTTTGTTACTTCTTGAAAATTATTAACAAGCAACAAAACATACATGCAAAGCTCATTGTACAAGTTGTCATGCAAAGCATTGATGATGCTGGAAATATCAGCTGGTCCTCACTAATTTCAGTAACATCATGATTTCCTGAAACGCGTACTTTGAGGGTTTCTGGGCCTTTGACAACTTTGGTTTCAGCACAAAACCACGTGGGATTTGTTTTACTTCATGGGAGAAGGGTTAAAAAGAAATCCTCCAGAGCAGGCACAAACCCCTTCTGTGCATGTATGTCCAGTTTTCCCAACCTGAAAGCTGATCTAATAGGAGACACGACTTCTGCCTACCAATCCTGTCCTGACAGTGATCTTAAGGCATCATAGCTATGACATCCTCACACTGATGCTAATGAGTCTTCCTGATAGGTCACAGAATACCCACAGATGAGTAATTGTCCTCTGATGCGAGGACTATTGCTACAAAAGTTCCTTACAAGCCGAAAGGTTTTTGTTTGTTTAAAAAAAAAAAATAAAAAAAAGATTGTTACTCCAAAAATCTGTGTTTATCCAGAAGAGAAACTTGCTTTCAGAGCACCAAGCGGTGCCCAGCAGCTAGCTGTCAACTCTCCAAGCTTCTGCAGGTGTAGGCAGTTTTCTACGCAATTCCATACATCTCTGTTTAGATGATCATGGTCTCACTGGCACAGCAGCGAGCTGCTTCTCTTCTTACTAGCTGAGAGAATCGAAGACAAACTAGGCTACCTGAATGCATACCCACTACACAAAAAGCACAAAGTAGCCAATACTTCAAAGATACCAAGTGACGTAACAATTTCGTTAAGTAACTAAACAAAACTACACTCTCCTAGGACTGCTCAAGGGATTGAGAGAAGAAGGCGTCCTTGCGTGACGATGCTCAGTAGGTAGGGGACAGCTATTAAGTTCAAATGGAAAAATTTTCATATCCACGGTACCTACAGTTAGTGAGAGCCATGATACCCAGACCATGAAATACAGTACATCTCACCGACTCAAGATAAAGAGGAAACTCAACAATGAGAGCACAGTTAATGCAATTCTTTCATTGTTGAGATTATACTTGGCAATGGAAGCAGCAAGTGGAGAATCTGGGGTTTAGAGAAGCTGATGCAGCTACCAAACAAGAACCAAAAGGTTGATTTTGGTTTCAGTATTTTTTACAATGAGAGAATTAATATAAGCAGAAACACAACAATTTGCAGACTGCACGATCTTGCCTTCAAATACAAGTTACACCCTGTTAACAAAAAACAAAAGAGCAACGGCATTTAATAGATCTCCTCGCCAACCCTGATTCAGCAAAGCACTAAAAGCAGGACAGCAATCTCTGCGTTCTTAAGCAGGATTACAAACACACTCTAGCCTAACCCATGTTTTTAAATGCTTTGCTGAATTGGATCAAAGCGCAGGGTGGTGGTGTGGGAAAGACATGTGCCACCCGTGCATGGGGTGCCACGGGCAGAGCACGGCTGCCCTCTCCAATCCACTGAGCTGCAAATCCAGCGTTTACTCAAGGCAGGGGAAATGGGAAAGTACGTCTGGAAGCTGCTGCTCACAAGCTCTCCTGTACCTGAGACTTCACCTGGGCTTTCCCCTTTGCTACATATGCAGCTGTAGAAGGGCAGATGGAAACCCCAGTGACTCATCTCATGCTCAAGAGCTTGTTATTTAGCCAACGCTTCCACTTTTTGGTCAGATCTTCATCTTGAGATCAAACATATGCTTTTTGTACAAATATGGTTAACTTGCCGTTTATTTGGCTTGGTTTCAACCACCACAAACATTTAGGTGGTTGAAAAAGGCAAACAGTTTGCGAGCATTTAAATACATATTTACAAATTCAATATAGGAGTCTAGAATACTGTAACACAAGGGGAGAGCAACAAGAGAAGAAGAGGAGAGAAAACAAGAGGGGGGAAAAAGGTCCCTGTACTGTAGCACTGTTTTTTTCTTTTATGAGGCAGTCTCTCCAGGAACCACGCTTTACAGCTCCAGTTGGAGGCCCTCTAAAACGTTGAAACTGGAAAACCTACAAACATCGTAGGTATATGTCGCTACTTACTTATACGTAAGTGTAGATCACAGTTCAGTTCCAGCATCAGCTGAGAGTCTACCCCACTGGTGCTCTCAGCTTCAGTATCGTTTGTAGTGTGATTCATATGAGAGATAGTAAACGTAAGGAGCATATGTTGAATGTGAAATAACTACAGAGCGATAACTTGCAAGAAAAATCCTGTGGAAAGTATTTATTTTGTCAGGGCAAAAAAAAAGGGAAATTGATTCAGTGAACTTAAACTTTTTCCCTGCCAACTCAAGCCCAAAATAATCTGCTTGCCAGCAGGGACTAAAGAAAAACAACAGTAAAAGTGACTTTGACATTTCACACGCCATTTTAAGATTTCACTTTCTTGAGGAGGTTAAACCATGTTTTGAGCAGTGTGTGGAAGTCATGGGAGAGAGAGGTTTTTGTTTTGTTTTAACATAAAAAAAAAAATCACCCAGATTCTTCCCTTACTACAAAAATAAGAAATTCTAAGAATGAAGTAAATACCTTAAAGTGTTACTGGGCAAGCTTTAAAAATGCAAAATAACAAGAACCACATGTTAGAAACATGGAGTAGAAATGGAAAATATTGTAAGGAAGAACTAAATTTGCATCAAGGGGCTTTTTTTGTTTTGGTAAAAAATATAGACTTTTAAAAATATATATATATATAGCTGAATATTTTACAAAACAAAAGCAAGACACCAAGGGACAAAGGCAGCCAAAATATGTACAACAACTTTACTTAAAAAAAAAAAAATTATTTATTGTAACGTGGATAGACTTTCTTGAGTCTTACCATTAAAGACACACAGATATAGCAAAGGAAGCAAGGGTAGGAAAGGGAAGAGAGAGGAATGAAATGAGTATCGATAAATAGCGCAAGCTCAAAGACAGTAAGACAGTTAGCAACCCACAACGAACCTAATGAGCTGAAGTAACACAGAACCCCCTTAGATTCATAAATATCTAACTCCTGTTACTCCTAGCTGGACTATTTCATAGAGGGAGCTGCTAAAATAGAGGAAGAGAGCTCCTGTGGGTGGAAGGAAGGCAGGAAAACTACTCCTAGAGATTTGACCTAATTGAAACAAAAAGATGTCTCTTTTTCAGTATCTCAAATTCTTCAGACAAAAGGAAGAAAATGTCGCTCATATCATCATCAATCTCAGTGGAATTCAGGAATTCAGAGAGAGACTCTCTTTTATTTAATTAGCGCTTCATTCAGCCTCATGTTTTTTGTTGCAAATAATGTCATATGCTGGCATATTTTAACCCCTAGTGGCCCACAGTCTGCTTCAGTGAGGTTGACTATTTCTGCTACTTATTTTACCCTTTCTATTGGAGTTTATTCAACACTGTTGAGAAATGTCATTAAGCCAAACTTGGGCATCTCAGTGTAACTGACTGAAGGTGAAGTAATGTTAAAACTCACTTTACCGATTTCATAATTATCTAGGTCGTTTCAGGCAGCTCACACAGAGTAAAAACAGGAGACGGAAAATCAGAGCCTCACACCTTGCTTTTTATAACTTATCACAGAATTTGTCTTTTAAACTGTATGATACAAAACAGAACTGCTGGAAAGGACTGAATGAATCTTGGGTCCCTATTCACCCCTTCATTTCCTCAAGTAACTTTCAGGTATTACACTATTTAAAATAACTCTCAACTATTTAAAATACATGTTTCAAAACATGTTAAATAACAGGCTATAAACAGCATCCTAAGTGTCAGAAGCACTAATATCCTCCTTTTCCACACATCAAATATGCTGGAGATGAGCCTCAGCTGATGTAAACATACTAATTATTGTGGATGTCAAATGGTCTTTACACCAGCTAAAGATTTCTCTCCTTATCTTTTCCTTCACCTCTTCTTGAAAAAAAAAAAACAAAAAAAAAACCCAAAACAACTTACACTTATGCTATTCTATGCAGCTAAAGGCTGAGTGATCCAGTTCATAAGGCCGGTTAAAGCTGGAGGTTCAGCTGCTTGCTCGCCCCTCTGTGTAACAAACTCATCAAACTCTCACACTCTCTGAGAAAGCTTTAGCTTGTGCAATGCCCAATGTGCCTGCCGTCCTTTAGAAGAGTCTGAGCTATAACAGAGCATGACCCACCTCCCAAATAACAGATTATTAGGGAATACAAAAGGGATCAGTGTCTAGTACTGAGTACCTACGCATGTGCATAAACACCGAAGTGTCACTCACTGCTCTTTGTTGCGACCATTATAAATTCAGGAAATTCAACAGGGGTTTGTTTGTTTTTCCTGGAACACACTTTGTGTCATGGAGAGCTGCATCTTAGAAATTTCTAAGGATTTATATAACCACTTTTGAAAAGCCCGCATTTTCCTAAAGACATTGTGGCACTTAGCCAATTAGCTTTCCATACACGTATCACAGAAAGACAGAAAATTTTGTAACTTGGGACCATTTATTGAATAGCACAGTTTACAAATGGATGCCCCAGTCACCCAGGACAAATCTCCTGGTATTTAAAAACAGTGCTGAATGAACTGCAATAACTACTGCCATGATGAACTCAATATCCCCAAACTATGAGAACAATCCATTCAAGGCTGAATAGCTGCTGCTTTTTTTTTTTTTTTTTTTTTAAATAGCATCACTGTATTTTTCCATTATTCCTTAAGAACTTGATGGGTCAGATCTCTATGCACGCATATTTATCAGACTGACAGACAATCCAATATTCCAGAGCAGACTAAAACCAAACACTAAACTGGTTACTGAAAATGAAGAGAACTACTACAACGCAAAAGGTGCATAACTAAAGAGGAAATGGTAAATACCACTGCTTAACATGTTCTTACATTAATACAATTACATTTCCTTCTCCCTTTTAATAAAGAAAATGGGGAAGATATAATCTGTAAGCCAATCTGTGTTAACAACCTCAGGACTTTTAGCTATGATACAACAGAAAAGAACCGCTTTCTTAGCACTGCTTTTGTATTATGTTTTCTGAAGTTTTCTGTAGGACTGTACAGTTTAACACACACCAGAAAAAACAACTTACCTCTTTTTCATCTCTAATAACTGGTTATTGAGTACTGATCTCTCCTCTTCCAGCTAAAACACAAGTACAAAAAGACTACAGTTAATACACTAAGGATTGTTTCCTTAGTGTAATATATCAGAGCATCATTATCATCGTAAAACAAATGTGGGAGAGGCTACAGAGCCTGCAAATCCTCAAAGTAATTGATTTTCTACTAGGACAACACACACACACACACACACACAAATTACGCAGTGACCAAGAATATTAGCTAGTGAGGGGCTATCACTGCTTTATATAGCACTTTCACGTCCTGGGCCACAAGAGAGGTGTGAGGCCAGTATTGCCTTATAGGATATTTCCGTGCCCCATGCACACCAAATAGAACCATGAAGCCTTTGTGCGCCTGGCGATTAAGTTTAGCCCCGTATTGGTGAATTACTGGATTTGCTGCTGTTTTGACCTGGATAATTGTACTGCTGATCCATATTTGTTACTGTACTGTTATTTAGAGATAAATTATTGATCCCTAAAGCTGTTGGTCTGGTGTCTGTTACTGTATGCTGAACCTGTAATTCGGCAGGGCCACCTTAAGCCCTTACAACTAGTAAGACCTTCACCTGAAAATATTGTTGCTGCAAGTTCTTGGGGTCTAAACTGACTGGCACACACAGGTTTAGGAAAAGCAAACCAAAACACCAACCATAATTTGTACAACAACAAAACTGTAAAGCCCCACCACGGAAACACTGGGGTAACTGAACTTCTGATAAGGTTAAGAAATTAAGTATTTTTCAGGCCAATTAATTATTTTGCACTACCTCCTCCTTTCTTAATCGATGCCCAAAGTCAGCAATTACAGTCCTACAGAACTGCAACTACCAGTGCCTTGATTTGAATGCAAACTCTGTTTAGATTGCACAAGCTTTCAGGGTTCATCCGCAAGGTCAGCGGTACATACATTTATAATGGAAACCCCAGAGCCCCGGGAACAACGGCAAATAGCCTCCAGTTGACTAAATACTTTCAGCACCTTGCAGACATTCAGGTTTGGCAGAGCCAGGCACAGAAAGCGTTAAGCAAGTTCCAACGAAAAGGAAGGTTGTCTGCCGGCCTCCAAGACTAGCCTGAATGCCGCTCACCTAGATAAATTGTCTCCTCTGTGTTTTCTGACAACTTAACCTTCTCCTTTCATGTACTGCAGTGCTGTTAAGCCTTCCAGGTTTAAGATTAATTGCTACCATTTTGCTGGGGCTTAATCAGACAACTTTATCAATACGAAAAATAGATACTAGAAGGGTGTAGAGAGACTTACATTAAGAAGTCTTAAAGAAAATCAAAATGTCTCTCTCAAGGAAAGTGACCACAGTAAGACTGTGAGCAGCCATAGTACTACGTGGGTATGACCAAATTTTTCCTGCAGGCAAGTCAAAACCAATAATTTCACTAGCAGCACAAAGCATACCCCTCGTTTCCTGGTTTTTGTCTGCTTCCTACACAGAGGCAGCCTATATAACTCCTTACATCTGTACAGACTGATGACAAAAAAAAGAGAAGGAAAAAAAGAATATGAAAATTCTGAGAAATGTTTCACTTGTAAATGCCAGTGAGCTGCACCTCTCCAGAACCCCCCCTGACATCTATTTTACGTAGCCCCTCTCCTCCCTCAGACTCACGTTGCCATCTCTTGTGCATCACACTTTTCCTCTACCAGCGCTAGCATTTCTCTACAGTCACACTGTGCAGCATTAACCTGGCCACGTTCCACAACAAATCGCTTTGTTTCACCCTAGGCCAGCTTAACTTTCTGGTGTTTATGTTCTTGACTGCCACTTGCAATTGGAAAAACTTTGTACCGACATTATTCACCCTTTGCTCCCCAGAGGCCACATCCCCAGAGCTCCATGATGCTCTCAGCCTGCCCCCCCAAAAACACACTCCACCTTTTTATCGGTTTCTTTTAGGAAAAGATTATGGTGCCTGTTTAACTCCGAAAATCTTTCAACATTTGTGAAATGCTCTGAGATCATGAGCATAAACCCTGCATCTCTCCTCCCTTTTAGTTCCCTGGTTGGCTGTGGAGAGATGAGTGATTTTTGTACAGACCAAGACAGAAGTGGATTTAAAAGAGAGAAAAGGACAAGATGTTAGGGAAGTTGTGCAGCTTCTAAACCCCTGTTGCAGCTGCATCGAGTCAGGGATCAAGCCTTGAGCAGCTTCGTAGCAGAAGGGGAGAAAGGACACCCTTTCTCTCACCAACATTTCTCCAGCAATCCACTAGCTCTCTCATTAGCCTCAGAGCAGACTTCTCACATACCTTTAATAAAAGATGGACCAGCTGAACTAGTAGATATTTCTATACTTTTTCCAACGAAGTTAAAATGCCCAGGCAGCTCTGAGGCTCCCAAAATGCCCCAACAAATAATTTGAAGCCAGAAAAGCTCCCCGAGCTCAGTATCTGTCTGAATGAGAATCTTTAACTAATTACAAACAACTAATTATTTACAGATCAATACAGAAAAGCACCCCTCAGCATCTTTAGCATAAGACACTTTAACCTTTAGATGTCAGGATAAATCATTCATGAAAGAGTATTCATTAATTTTGCAAAGTGTGTCACATGCAGCCACAGAGTCACTAACCCAACTGACTAACACGCTTGTTAGAATTTATATAGTTACCATAGCGACTGCTCAAAATACATATGCTTGCTACCTTTCTTACTGCATTTTAATAGGCACATGCTCAGAAACTCACACAGACCGAAGCACTGCTACATTCTGTTCTTTCCTCCCTGCTGTCCAATTTTTCAGCATCCATTGCATAAAATGCAGCTCTATGTTAAACCTCTTCATTGCCACCACAGACACTGGTTCTCTAAAATCTAATCAAGCAATTCTTCACGGTAACATTTTTTTTCACTCCCCACAGACAGCCTGAACCCAAAGAAGCCCAAAAAACATGCTGCAACTTGGTGCCTAAATATGGCGTATGTTCACCCGAGCGACAGCAAAGAAGCAGCGGTGGTGGGGATCAGCGAGATGACTGTGCTAGCCCAAGGGAGGGCTGTCTGTGCCAGGATCCTCAAGGCCAGCTGGTTTTGTTGCCATTTCATTAAGAGAGCTCAGCAGTCAGAGGTAGAATGAGGGGACTGTAAGTTCAGGTTCTGCAGGAAACACGAAAAAAGCCCTGTTCCTCAGGATAACAGCAGGTTTCTATCAGAATGAAAAGGAGGGTTAGTGCTTTACACGTTCCAGATGAGACAGGGAATGCTTGGTAGGTGAACATCTGCCTCCACTCCCAAGTAACCAGGAAATACAACAGTTCTGAGCAGGCAGACCGCACGTTTCACCAAAGAGACCTGAACAATACCAAACCGAGAAGAGCTGCGCTCATTAGTTACGCGACACTCGGAAGGAAACCTGCATTTTAAATGACACCAGCTTGCCTTTGTTCCTCTTGCCACAACAGACCTCCCAGAGCTCTAGCAGATCTTCCAGATCTTTGATCTTGGAGCCATCTACTCACGGGCAGAAAAGGCTACGGTGCAAGCGAACCGAGAATATTCCAGTTTGCAAGATGATCGACTAATTCCTGTGCTTCACAGATTACGGCTGTCTATCCTGGCAATGAGAGAAGGATCCCTGCGGACAGACCCACAGTAGGCAGGATGCGGACAGCAGGACTCCTTCGCAAGGTCGTCTGGAACCAACGGAGGCCACAGACTGAGACGGCAGTGACCACTGCCAGCCTACAGCCTGCGGGCTGAAGGGTCCCTTCCCTTGGGGGCTGTCTGTATATCAACTCTGGCTACATAAGATAAGCAGAAAGATTTGACCGATGTTGCTGAATACTTTTCAAGTTACAACTCTTTCTGAAAATAACAGGTTGCCTCAAAGACTCTGAAATAATTTAAGAAAGCATGTGGGAGTGGGGAGCAGAGCTCCCACTGGCTGCTCAGGATGACAGCGTTCTCTCACCACACCACTACTCAGATGCAGCGTGAGTCAGTGGCTGAGCCCACACGTCTGGGACTCTTGTCATCTCCACGGGCTCTTTAGGATGAAGAAGCTCGTGCATTAGTCCTGTCAGCAGCCAAAGGATTTAGAAACTGGCCAGATCAGTAGTCACCCATCCTCAGTATTTCCAAACAGGACCCTTTGGGAAAAGTGAGCCTCTTGGCTTTAAAAACATTAGGCTTTGCTGCAGGATGGAAGAGATCTGTTCCACTGCCGCTGGGAACAGGCATACCCCTCTCCTGCACAAGCGCTAGCTCAGAAAGGCAATACATAAACCCATGTCTTCTGCGTTCTTGCTTTTGGACAGGATCTTTCAAAGATGTCTTCATGGTGTGGCTGTCACTGGAGCTGCTCCACAAGAACTAAACCCACCGTATTTAATGGCTGTAAATCTAATTTCTCTTTTGGCGAGTACCAGTGTTATAAGCTGTGTAACTAAGCCATACTTTAAGATTCCAACAACATGTTCAAATGTAATAGGAAAAAAAAAAAAATTTAAGAGAGTCTTTTTCTCCCCTATAAACTACCACCAGAAAAGCACCTTACATGGAATTCTAGCCCTCCAATACCCACTACCTGGCTGCAGCACTGTTCATGTACATGCACAGTATGAAGTTTAAGCAAGCATACACGTGCACAGCGCTTTTTACAGACGGAGTCCAACTAAGTAGTTTTAAACAGTATTCCGAAATACATCCTAAATACTCTTTTTTTTTTTTTTTTTTTTTGTGGGAAAGGGAGAGCAGGAATAAGGAGGAGAATTAAAAAGCTAGATTTCCTTAGTGCTGGGTAGATGGAGATTTCCACAGTTGTATAACAAAATTACTCCTGACAGAAATAGCAAGTGTCTGTTAATACATTTGGCTAAAGCATATTTAATTTCTGCTTATTCCCAAGCCTCCTAAGTATCCTTCAACGGGTTACGTAACCTCCTGTTAGCCTGCAGTTCTAACCTCCCAATGCAGGTGGCTTCCAAATTTATTTTAAAACATCCTCAGAACAACTCATCTTCCAAGCACAAACATGCAGTGCAACGTCACCCAGGCATCAGCGGAAACAGCACGCGCAGCACTTTCACCATAGATCAGGAAACGTTCCAGCCACTCTACCTTCTGATGACTTGTGACTTCGTCCCTGCTCCTGCCCAGCTCCTCGGCAAGTTTCACGTTCTCCTCTTGCAAAGCTGCAAGCTGCTGGGACTTCTGAGCTGCTGCCAGCTTCAGCGCTTCGCTGCGAGGACAGAGAGTGCATCGTTACCATAGGAACGAGAGAGGCAAGAAAAAACTGTGGGAGAGATTCAGCTTCACAGCTTGGAAAAATACATCTAGGTCACGTGTCTAATGGGATCTACAATAAAGGTGACAATCTATACCTCAGATGCACAGGGATAGGTTTAACCCTGAAAAGCAGGAGCAGCACAAAACTCCTTTTCTTTTACATGTATCAGACACTCAGAGAAATGGAAGGTAAGTTCAGGCTGCTAGTTCTGCATGCTTCCGATGGTTAGCAAGTGCTTGGGTTTAGAAATACAGGGTAGGGTTTGACAAGAGTGTTGGCGAGGTTTATAGCTTAGACTTTCTCTGAAGTGAACTTTGTAGCCAGAGGTAAAACATGAGAATTGTTGGGGTTTTGGGGGTTTTTTTTGTTTGTTTTTTTTAAAAGGGGGAAAAAACAAAAAGAAAAAAGAAAGAAAGAAAGGAAAAAAAAGCTTACAGTTCCACTTACTTAAATACTCCCTACAAGGTCTGTCATCCAAACATACAAGAATGTGCAAGATCACAGGAGACAAAACAGGAAAGTATCTAATCTATTCCATTATTTTAACAGATACAAAACTGAAAATGAGACAAAACAAAAGCTGAAGAAAAAAATGGATCTGCAGGTTTCATTAGCCTATGTGGCTACTAATATGTGTGGTTTCCTTAAAGTGAGTTTATTTTCAACAAATTTTTAAAAAAAATAATTTTGCATGCCTGCAACACAGGTGACTAACACAAGTTTTTATAAGATTTGACAATATCTCTCAAAAATAAAAAAAGATACGCTTCATTTCATTAAACAGTAATTTTTATGACTGTGTTTTGTTTTCATGAAAAGGAATCTCGGTACTCCTATGTGCCAATATTACACAGAGTTAAACGCTGACTGGAATAAAAAATACTCTTATGACTGTGGGAGGTAGAACAACCCATAAGTCAGAAACTTATTCAAGCACTTCAAAATACAAGGACTCTGTGGTCTATTATCGGGCACATTTAAACAAAAGGAAGTCGGATTTACTTTTTGAGTTCAGCTTCTAATATGACCAAGATTTTCTAACCATTTCTTCTATCTGGTCTCACCTTGACCGATTTCCAATCTGATCCACCTAGACTGGATTAAACAGGCTAGCTCACATCACTGAACACCGACTCAAATTATCGTGGTAAGAATCTACTTGCTGATGCAGGAACATACCTATTTTTAACCATGACTGTTTGCTGAACTGCAGCACTAACCAATTCTCCTTTTTTTGCTTTCGGCATTAAAGCGTAGATTCAGGGCATTATAAAAAAAGCACACAAAATACTGGCGTCAATTTGTGTGAAATGCTCCCCTGTGTTTAGGGCCAAGCAACTTGAAACTGATAGCTGCAAGTGCACTTGACAGTATGCAGTACTAAATGAATACAACAACGTCCAGCTGGTATTTCTGCTGTTCTTTATCCTAGTTTTACACGGAAGGCTCTGTCACAAAGGCCACCAATGTCACTGTAACATCCTCCCACCTCCAAAAGGCTTCTCTAGAGGCAGCAGCATGTCCCTCCCTACAGTCACAGCTCCTGCGGGCAAAATTTCCCCTCTGCTCTCCGTCGCAAAGGCAAGGGCACTATCTTCATCAACTGACCTCCCAAAGGTGTTCTCTCTACCTACATTACTGCCAATCAAGAAATGCCTATCATCAAGCAAATTCCTTACTCTAATTAAAACAAGGCAACACATAAAATAATTATGACAACAAAGATCAATTAAAAAACAACTAGACAAGCTTCCACTTATCCACAATGTCTCATACCACTGACGATTAGAGACCACACTCAGCAATAGCCTATGACTAAGATTAACCTTAAGAAAAATAAATTTAAAAAAAACCCACAAAGCGATCAGAATCATGAGAACACCTTTCAGTGCTGCAGATTTTCAAGGAAGTATCTTCTATAAATAACTTCTGCTTAACAATTTACAGTCTAATTTATTTTGTCTTTCCATGATAGAGGCTGCTAACCCCTTGCTGTTTTAGCACTAGAGCAACTAGTCTGGAAAGAATTATTGTGCTTTGGCATTTCCCACAAGCACTGAGGCAGGTAGAAATTGCTCATGGAATGAAATCCTGCCTTTCTCTTTTGAGGTTGTGGTCTATACAAGCATGCAGGTTTTTAAAAGCAAGCAGTAAAAACTGTCAGTCATACAGAAACTTAGTATTAATTCTGTGTGCTGATTTCCTTTGTGTCCTGTCTTCACCACAGAGCAGTGGTTAAGAACTGTCACAAAATGACTTATGGAACTAACAATAATAATAATAATAATAAGCAGCCAAAGCTGCTCTTAGCTCTGAGTCTAGATTCCAGCTCTCACTCCATGAGTCAAGAAATTCTTTTCAGAGTACAGGTGGAAATGGAGATTTGTGATTTAATGCATTACATGTCTGAAAGTTGGGGGACATGCAGCTACTGCAGGGTAGCAATAACTAGGATTTTTATTCACGGTGGCACACCAAAAGCTTTGATACTATGAGATTCCACAGGGCAAATTACTTCATCGCAGATGTTTTGCAGTTAAATCTGTTTGTGTACAATGTTACACATCATTAGTTTGTAGTACATAAGAGGCAGTTTCTCAAACAAAGCATCTCAAATGATAAGCAATTAACTCTAGTTTTACATACTATATATAGCATTTGTATTGTACCAATTAGAAAATAAATGCATAGTGAGGCAACAGGAATAAACTGGATAAAGCCATCAATGACAAACAAAAGCAGAACCGGATTTTCTATAAACAAAGCCACTTAAAACTACTTAACACTCCAAGTGTGCTTGTAATTAAATCCAAACAGAATTTCTTTACAATAAGGCTTTTAAAATAATCTAGTGCCCTCAGGTGGCAGAACTCTATACTTCCTCCAACAGACAAATTATTTCAAACAATGCTTGGAGTGAAGGATTTGCTTCAATACCCTTCAGCAATTCAGGAGCAACATTCTGATTTCAAGTTTTACACACGTCAAACTAATATTTAATTTTGACCTAATATCTGCTTTGTAAGTGAGGATACTGGAGAGGCACTGAAAGATAATTTTTTTAAAAAATTAAAGGTAAGTGTAACTACAAAGGAATGGTTTAACAGATTTAACATTGAAATACTTACAATTCTTTTTTAAGTTCTTCCACTTTCTTGTTCTCCAGATTTAGAAGCTCTTTTGATTTATTAAGTTCCTCTTCATTTTTCAGGTTGTTTTGTTTAAGCATGTCCAACTTAAAGAGGAAATAAAAAACTCTCATTACACTAATGAAACTATACAGTTCCTAGGTGTAGCACTCTGAAAAGATATTCAGCAAAACGAGGGCCTGAGCTGAGCTGTTCCACTTTTTCATCTTTAGTCCTTAAATTAATTCAGTCTGTGTACTGAGAAGCATCTGTCTAACAAAAGATGGTATGAGACCCTCTGCATTCAAGTCGAGGAGCACAAAGAATTCAAAGTCCATTGAAGAGCAGCTTACAGTAATCTGATGTATATATCCCCATATAAAAGGTAAAGCTCCAAAGCACCTCCATTTTAAATGCTATACAACTCGAAGCACTTCTTCCTAAATTCCACGCTTGTTGCTAAAATTAGCTGTTCCTTTGATCTTTATTCCTCTAAGAGAACTGATAAAAAGTTCTGCTTTACCATACCTTAATTTCTGAGAAACAGTAAGCTGAATGTTCTGCTCGCAACCAGAAGAAATGAATTCCTTTCAGAGATCTTGTTGCATGGGACAAATTGTTGTATATCTATTTACTGAGCTTGCATCTACCACGTAACACCAGAAGCTCGCGAACCTTATTTGTTTGCATTCAGCGACACATTACATTACATAACAGATAATCTTCAGCCATTCTCATGGCATTACAGGACCCTGTGGATTACTATTTTTTTTTTTTTAATCCGGAAAGTGAACCCCTGCCATTATTAACATCACTGCTTTCAAATCTCGAGTCATCAGATCTTGCTGGAAATCATTACTGGTTCAACACAAGCTGTGGCATGTAGGTTAGCCCAGCTGTTCACTACCCGTTATTACGGGAGCTGCAAAATAAAAGAGCCATCAAAAAGAGGCCACAGGGTGCTCAAGATCTGCAGAAAAGATGCCAGACTAAATACTCTGGGGCAAAAGAGTGTGAAAAAGATTAGTGAGGACATTTTTACCTGCTTCAAACCCTAACGTATCACAAAGTGGTGGGAGGACATAGACTGAAAACGGGTCCCTAGAGGAACTGCTGTACATGTTAGGCTGTGAAGTTCTTTGGGACCTTTGTGCTCATGTATTTGTATAGTGCATGGCTCAGCATAATTTGTACCTTGTCAGACCACAATTCTGATTAACAGAAAAGTGGAAAAAAGAAGAAATTATAACATTACACATGTCAAGATCACAAAGAGGATGTACAGAGCAAGGAGTGCATTACAGGTGAGAAATGGAGCGGTAACTTTTGTGGATTAGGAGCACCGTTACTCAGAGCTCTGCAGCACTTCATAGGAGCATGAAGTTGCACCCCATACTTACAACCAGGGACTCGAAGCACAGAGTGGTCACATCTAAGCAACTTATCCAAAGCTATACAGCAAGACTGATTAAGCCTCAAGTCAAACCCACATCTCTTGATTCTGCGATCCGCAAAAGCTGCTGTAGCATCCGGAACGCCTATTACGTAAGATAATTTTTTTTGTTGCTGCACCAAGATTTAAGGGACATGACCTTATGCTGTACAGTATTTGAACCCACATGCAAAATACAAAAGAACATAGGTCATATGGCTATGTAAAGCACCTAGATTTTCCATCAATATGTGCTCATCTAGTAAGTTTTCCCAAGCCAGTCAAGACTGAGTATTGTGGTGGGAAAATGACACAATCCACTCTTGCCTAATCTAATTCTCTGTAACTCAACAGTTGTTCCTTTCAAACTAGGCAAAACTTTTCATATAAAAGCATTTTAAATGTGATTACTTCATTCTGTAGTTTCTCGTTTGTCTGTCTAGAGTTCTCCAAAGAGGCCAAAGTTTCAATCTTTTCTTTGTGAATAGCATCCTTCTCTTTGGTCACCTTCTCCACAGTCTGGAAAACATCTTCTGCCATTTTGGCAGCCTATATATAAAGGGGGGTGGGGGAAAAAAAAAAAGTATTACTAAAGGGACCTCTGAAAGCAAAAGATGAACTGCAATACGTTATGCACAGCTGCACAGTTTGCCAGCTGCTTCCCAATTAAATAAGGACTTCAACTGGGAATTTATTTGCATTTTGAAGCTGCATAAAGTATAAAAATAAATGGACATGAGAAGATTCAATTCCATGCAGAAATAGATCATAACCCCATGCTCGTGTCACCACGGAGGAAGCCCATTTCTTCTTTTTTAATCCCTGAATTTCTAATTACCACCACTGTGATTGCTCTTAAGACTTCTAACCACTTTAGACAGTAGTAGTTCAATAGATATTCACTTCCAACAGACTGCTCTCTTTTCAGAAAATGTGGAATTATGAAAAGCTGTTAAAAACTTGAAAAAGATTTAAATATTAAATAGAAGATAAAGCCAATTATTGCATTATTTCAGTGTTGTTAATTATGCCCTCATAAAAGGAAATACTTCACAAGAATATTAAAATACATAGGTAGGCATCATACATTCCTACAGGATATCTTGACTCCAATTCGTATTCAAAGTGATTTTATGGGCTTCAAGCCACACAAATGGAAATTCAAAATACTTTACAGAATTTGTTGGTGGTGAATACAAAACACTTCTGTGAATAAAAAGAACACCAGAATTGTCAATGTCTTTAACAGACTGAAAGTCCTATAATGTAAATTTAAATGGTTCTCTTGCACTGCTTTTTATCCAGTTACCTTTACAGGAGCATTATGTTGTTTTATATTTTTTTTTGAGTAACTCAAATTTGTAGTTTCTTGTAATTTAACACAAAATTGGACAAAGATCTTAAGTAAAACTTTATCTATTACTACTCTAGCTTTTAAGCTGCAAGAGTACTTCAACAGAAGGAGCTGCTCAATTTCTCCTACTAGATTCAGGAAACAAAACTTCCTTTTATTCACAGTTTACATTGTTTTCTTGCAACATTCAGCGACAACATAGGCTTTTACATTTAGAAACATTTTTTAAAAAATATTAAAGTGTTTTCAGACTCAGAGTTACAACTTGAAAAAAACCCAAAGTGATATATTGAGAGAGACCATAATTCCAGCCTGTTTATACTGAGGTGAAGTGCTGATTGTGCAATGAAGTGCAGAGAGGAAACCACAGGGTTAGTGCTCAGTATTAGTGTAACCATACTTGATTGTTTAACTATGTGTTTCAATACCTCAATTTTTTTCGCTACTGTTTGGGCCTGGAGAGTCTCAATTTCTTTTAGTTTCAAAGCCAGATTGTTCATCTCCTCCTGCAGCACCTGATTTTTGCCCTGAGACACCAGCAATTTGCCTGAGAGGTCACTATTAGTTTGTTCTAAAAGTGCTACTTCCTTGTGCAGTTTATAATAATCATTGGAGAATTTCTCCTTCTCTTTTAGTATTTCTTCCTTAATGGTGATCAGACTCTTCTGTTCAGCAAGCAGGCTGTCATTTTCCTGAAGTAACTGCATTCTCTCCTTCTCCGTCACCTCATGTCTCTGTCGAAGATCATCTAGCCTCTCGGAGACACAGCCGTGCAAGTCCTGGAGCTCTGCTTTGGATGTAGACAAGGAAACAAAGTCACTCTTCAGTCGCTCGATACTGGAAGTGAGCTGCTCTGTCTCTGCACAGCGGGTTTCTTTAATTATTTTTGCCAGTTTAGTTTCAGATTTTTCTTTCCCCTGAACTAAAACTTCTTTCTCAGTCAGCAATTCTTTATTTTTTTCTCTCAGCTCTTCTACCTCCTTCTCTAAGAAGCTGATACTGTTTTGAAGTTCCACACGTTCCAACAAAAACGATTCCTTGTCCAGTTTTCTGGCTTCCTTTTCTATGGTTAAGTTTTCTTTCATAATCTCAACCTCTCCATTTAATTTCTGACACTCATCTTGCAATTCGGTCCTCTCTCTGGTCAGCATTTCCCTATCAGAAGAACAGGTCTTGAATGAAAATGACAGGACCTGCTTGGCGTGTGATTCAGCAGCCAGTTCATTTTCTAATGTTCTTTTAGCATCCTGGGTCTCTTTCAGAAGGTCTGAAAGGTGACATTTACAGGCTATTAGCTCTTGATTTTCTAGAGTCTTCTTACTTAGTTCTTCCTTGAGAGCTTCAATGGAATCTTGGAGCATGGTATTCTCTTGGGCCAGAGCTCTCTTGGCTGAGACATCCAGTTCGTGTTCTCTCTTCATATCAGAAATTGCATTTGCAGAAGACTTGTTTTCATCAAGAAGCTCTGAGTATTTGTTCTCCAATTCATTCTTCTCTTGAAGAAGAGCTTCGTTGTGCTTTTCAAATTGCAATGACTTACAAAAAACAGATTCCTTTTCTAAGTTCAGTTCGTTTATCTTCTCAGTAAAGACTTTCTCAGCAAGCGTGGCATCTGCTGTGGCTTTAGCAAGCTTTTCAGCAATTGCCTTATTTTCATTTAAAAGTTCCTCCCTTTCAGCCAAAAGCCTTCGCTCTGATGAAGAAAGAACCTCTTTCTCTTGAAGTAACTGGATACATTCAGAATTGGATCTCTCTCTTGAGGCTTTAATTTCCTCAAGACAATGAGAGAGACTAGCAAGGGAACTCTTCAAATCCATATTGTCTTTCATCGCTTTTTCAAGTTCTTTATGTCCAGTCTTGAGTTCTGTTTGCATGTCTGCTGTTCTCACTTTTAACGCTTGGTTTTCACTAACTGTATTGTCTAAACTCTCATGCAGTTCTTCTATACTTTTAAGGAGCATCTCCTTCTCGGACTGCAGACTCTGACTTGTCTGCAATAGACTGTCCATTTCATTTTTTAAGGCTATATGTGTATTTTTAAGATCTGAGTGTTTACCTAGGGCTGAATCTCTCTCTGCAGTCAGAGCTGACACTTTTTGCAGTAGCTCTCTTTGATCTCTGGCCAGGGCCTCGCAAGAACTTTCCAGCTTCTGAATAACATCATCTTTGTCCTTAACAACTGCATCTTTCTCTTCCAAAAGTTTCTTCTGATAATGCTCCAGCTCTTCCCGTCCTTTGATATGCTTCTGACACACCACATCCATGGCATCTTTGTCGGCCTGAAGTTCTTTCAACTGTTGGAGCAAGGTTGACTCTGAAGACCGGAGAGCATTGTTTTCTTGAGTTATCTTCAGAAGGTCTGCCTGTGCTGCCTCTATTTCAGAGACTAATTTGCTTTTCTCAGAAATTAGTGCTGCATTTTCTGTGCTTTCCTGCTGGCTTTTGGCCTCGGCTTCTTCCTTCTGCTTTAGGATTTTTTTATTTTCTGAATTAAGTTCTTCATTTATTGTCCAAAGTTGTTCTTGGTCTTGTTGCATTAATGAAATCTTTGATTCCAATTCTAGAAGTTTTGGTAACAAGGAACCTCTCTCCAATTTTAAAGTATTCCCCTCCTGTGCCAGAGTCTCTTTTTCTGATATCAAACCCCTCATCTTGTCTGACATTAGTTCAATCTCTTTTCTGGCTGATGCTAACACAGAGCTTAAGGACTAAAGAAATAAAGTCAGGGAGAAGGGAAAACAAAAATGAAGTCAAGCAGACAAATAAGAAATGTGGTTTAAGGGCAAACAGAGCTATTGTAATTTAAGTTTTAAAAAAGTGTATACACTGACACACAGTCCCTGTATGAATTCAACTGTTGACAGCCACCACTGATATTTCATTACAAAACACCCACCATCCGCAGGAAAACTTTGCAGTGGTTAAATAAAAAAAATAAAATAAAAAAAAAGGTTTGAAGGTTCCTCAGTACAAGACTTCATCTTGTTTTTAAAACTCCTCTCAACAGATTTTCTGAATGTAAATTACTCTAGAAAAGAGCCACAGAATGATTTCATGAGAATCTTAAGTGAATTAAAATGCAGGGAGTTATATTAGATACTGACTTCCAATTCTCAAATTCACCTTCTATAACTCATTGTCCTCATAATTCTCTCCAAAACATATTGTCATAATTTAATGCAAAACACCACATCAGCTGTGTGTTTAAAGTTAACTTGCGTGCCAATTTATACACTAAATATTTTGCTAAAGCATAAAACAAAGATTATAGCAAATAACTAATGAGGGACGAAAGCAAGCAGCAATATCAAAGAAACAAGAGAAAAAAAAAGAATTACTGAAGTCAAGCTACATACTAAGTAGCTGCACATAATATGGGATCACACTACAGAACAAAATTTCAGGTGTGTAGCACTTTTAAATAAAATAGTTCACAATACATTTTATTTAAAATTAATGCATTTAAAAACAGAGAAAAACATTTGGCTCCAACTGATTGTGCTGAGCCAGATATCTATGAACATAAAATGTTAACGTCAAAGAACCGTATTTCATGGATTCTTGTGTAACCTAGAGAAGACCACCAGTTAGTCGTGTATGCTGCTCTTCCCTAACCAATATTTATCTACCCTGGAAAAGTTCAAAAAAGAAACACTGCAAAAATCCTACTATGAAATGATGAAGCCAGGCAAAAAAAGAGTTATCCACTGGAACAGAAAGACTTAACAGAGTAACAAAGCATACATACTTTGGCCTGTTCTGCTTGCTTTTTCAGCTCCTCAGCCTGTGTTTCTAACTCATCGTTTTTCTTTTGTGCAATTTTCAGAGCCTCTTCCGCATCCAGCAAGTTCTGCTTAAACCCTTTGATATCTGCATCATGTTTAGTGATCATCTCAGAAGTTTCTTTTTCATACTTTGCCTGAAGGTCCTTATACTGATTTTGACTAGTCTCGATTTGCTTTTTCTGATAGAAGACAAAACAATTGGAACACAGTTAAAGAAGCAGCGGTACTATATTCTGCACATAGCTAGCTAGTGCTGTTTAAAGTTGTTCTTACCATGTCTGTTAGTTGATCCTGCATATTTTTTAGTTCTGCTTGATGAATCTTGAGAGTTTCTTGCTGACTCTGCTCAGCTTTCTGTGTTGTCTGCTCCACATTTTTCTGAAGCTGAACAGCCTTTTCATTTGCTTTTGTAAGCTCAAGTTGTATTTGCTCCAACTGCCTAGAAAGACCAAATAAAAGAACATTACTTTTTGCTGACAGCACGACAAGCACAGAGATTAAAGACTCCAAATTACGCTGAAGTTCTATATTCTGTCTAAGCATTTAGAAAGAGATTTAATTATTTAACATATAGAGAATTGTTCTGGTAAATTAAATACACACAAGTGAGACCGAGCACTTGGCCATGTGCAGAGCAACACAGCTGCCAGTTACCTTGCCCCCAGTCTGGGGTTTTGTAAAGGTAAAGAACAACTATTCTACATGTAATTTTTATTTGAAACAAACCACATTTTTTCTTGCTAGTCAAAAATGTGACCCAAGTCTTATATCTCCAAATAAACCAAGCTTATCAGGTAATAAAATAATTAAGAAGCACAATCACGAAACAGTCTAGGTTATTAAAATGTTCATTTACTCTGGACAATAAGAAGCACGTTACATAAGAATTTTAGAATTATAAATGTTAGATGCTCTTCAAATCACTCTGAGGAGACTGTTGTGCATTTAGTATAATAGAATAAGTTCACTTGTCATATCAATGTGACACTCAGGAGCATCTTGTTCAGATATGTATAAAAATATAAAATGAGAAGCAGGGAGGGCAGGAGTAAAGAATTAATGTGAAAACGTTCTGACAGTGATGGAATACCTTTCTTTTAACCGGAGCTCATCATTCATTTTTGTAAGCTGGGCAGAGCTGTCTCCTGAAGACTTCATGATCTCTGCAATATCATTTTCAAGTTTGGCTTTAGCTTCAATCAGTTGTTGTTCTCTCTCTTCTCGCTCCTTCAACTTCTTCTCCATCACTGAGCAAGACAAAGGTTAGCAGTCTAGTAAATTTAAGAGAAAGGGTATGCACAGACTAGCTAGAAGATAGTAAAGAACTATAAACACAACAATGTTGATTCTACAGGGCTTGCAAATTACCCCTTTAAAATTAAAAATTATGACTGTTTAACCTTTGAACTGTTAACTGTAGCAGAAGGTTAAGAACTCTTCAGGAATAGTAAAAAAGCAACTAGTCAAGAAATCTTTCTTTCAGAAGTGATTCACTTAACTTCAGGCCACGGGAAGTGGATACAAGTTCTACCCATATGAAAGGGTAATCAGTACAGTAAGAGAGGTATGCACATCTTACAGGCGAGACAACTCACCAGCTATTTAGTAGAGCAGCAGAAAACAAGGCAAGCAACATGAAGCTACAGTGAAAAAATTACTTATTCCATGGCAGACACTGCCACCAAGGGCAAGGGCAGTCCTTGGGGGATGACTCCTACAGTCCCAACAATGCCTTGAAAGGCTTGCTTAGAGGGTACATCATCATTCTTAGTTTCTTTCTACATTGGTTTTAAATCAAGATGTACAACGAGAAAGATACAGCAAGATTCCCTCTTATGAGGTAAGAAGAAGTAGACAACCAGACTAATGTACAGTCTTTTGGACATCCTTAAAAAGAAAACACTACTTATGGACAAAGCTTCTGTGAATTAACTATCTTACATTTGTAATGCTTCAGTCTGGTCCCCAAGCCTTTGTCTGGTATCTGACCATCACTACAACATGATTTTATTGCAATCTCAAACAAGAATTTAGCTATTGATTTGGAATACGCTCAGCCAGGAAGTCTTCTGCCTTACTGCACTATTTCCTTAACATCACCATCAACTTGCTTTGTCAGTATACATAGTGCCACAAAAGCTGTTTTCTGCTTGGAAAAAAGGCTTTCTTTTGAAGGCATATGCATTTCTGAAAGCATTACATACTATGATGTGGCAAGCCAAGCAGGAAACATACAAAAACACAAAGCTGATGCATTTTTCAAAACATTCCATTTTATTACTTCCTTACCAGTCAAACTAGACTTCAGCTGTTCCAGTTCTGATGACATGAGTGCAAACTGCTCTTCTTTTTGGTTTAGTTTTTTTATTGTTTCTATGCAAGTAAAATTTTGAAAACAAAGTTAGTAAATACTTAGATGCAGACAAGTCCACCTACTTGCAAGGTATGTTACTCTTAAAAGAGGCTACAAGTAATCCTGTCCTTTCCATAGCTGCTGAAACTGCTCTACTGCCAGGTGTAACTTTGAAAGCATGTGGAAAAAAGCCCTTTATTTTGCAGCATTTATTTTCTGCAGCTTTTTAGTTCTCTGTTTAGTTTAGCAGCAGACATACCTTGCATAGTTTGTTGAACATTTTCTGCTTCATCAGCTGCACTAGTAAACTTTTCTTTCTGAAAAATGGATAAAAACTTAAGGTAAGGTTTGGTAATAGCAGTATAATTCAACCACTGAATTTATATTAGGTATTTTTCAAGTACAAAATAGAATAGTCTTCACTCCTATCCTAAATAAATCTGAAGTTTTTGAATTACAGTTTAGCATAGATATATTCAGCAACATAAAGCAAGATTTTCCCTTGCCTTGGTTGCAAGCAAATCCCTAAACTTTCAAAATAACTTCTCCATCAGCTAGCATAGCAACAGAACTGCAGCCACAGAGTCCTGTGTAGAAGATGTGATTTCTGGGCTTCTCAACACAAGAAGCTATCCGTGCTGCTCACAGACCACACAGTGGACATCTGCAACCCTGTGATCAATCTCATACCAGTGTTTTCCAGCTTTACCAGAATGAAGAGATGCTAGACTGTGAAGAAAAGGGAGGATACTGAGAAGATAAGAAGCAAGACTCTTCCACCAGCTTCAACTATTTACTATGGCCAGGGACAGAATTTATGACAGAGACAGTAAAACCTGAAAGCATGTCTTTGTATTACTAACTCCAGTGTAGTTCTCTGGAAAATCCTACCCAACTACAGAATACTTGCAAATTTAATTAAATTTGAAAAATGAGAAATCAGATGAAAAATGCCTAAAAGCCATTGCAAGACATGTATAGCAAGCATTAATTTGTACAACAGTTATAATAAAGGGCCATGTGTTCCTTCATAAGTAGTCTAAATTTAAACTACATCCTGCTTTTGATTTGGTTTAATATTTTATCTGAAATCCATAAACAGATGAGTTCTATGTAGACAAAACACCTGATAACACAGAACTCGGGTGAAATGCTCTTTTGAGGCTGACATGGATCCTATTAGTCATGAACCCTTGCCTTCTCTTCATGAGTAAAATAGCTTTGAAAAGCTTGGCTCAGTCAGAGTTGATCCTCAGATTTCAATTACACTCTCACCATGAAAACCAAAATCCAAAGGATAAAGTCAAAATTTTTGGGTATTACTCACCAAAACTTGAAGTTCCTTTTCCAAACAATCTTTAACTTGATTTACTGCACTCAAGTTTTTCTCAAGTTCAAGAAGCTTTTGCTCTTTGCCCTGCAGTTCTTTGGCCAGATTACTAGCCTAACGAAGATGATGAAATGGAGTAAAATAAAATTACAAACATGAATGAAAAGAAAGCAAAATTAAAAGTTGAATCTGAAATAAATAACTATACTATTAAAATCGCCGTAAGATGAAAAATAAAAGAAACTGAAGAAAATAAATGTGATGTGTTAACTGAGCAAAGCTGATTACCACTGATGACTACATCACAGTACTAATTGCAACTTGGAATATATTTGAAATAATTAAAATTTAGTTATCTTGGAATTAATGGTGAAAACATTATTTAATGGCAGACATTTCTGAGTACATTAAAAATTTCCAATGTTAAAGCATCAGTTGAATTAGTAGTTTTGGTTCTTTATTGTTTTAACTTTTTTATCTGATAAATTTTAGCATTTTTCAACCAGCTATTCAGACCAATACACATATGGGGATGTAATTTTTCAAAAGGCTCTGTACCACACCAAGGGGTAGTGCAGAAACCCAGTGTCACCTCAAAAATAAGAGTCAAAGGTCCACCAAAATCTAGTATCTTGGAACCATCTGTGAAGGGTTTAAGAAAGCTACTTCCAGTTACTTTTCCACTACTCTTACAATTAGAGCTCTATCTTGTCAGGTCATGCATAGACTGGGGATTTGGAGGAACCCCTAAAATGAAATGGTATCTCAGCACTTTTATTCCTAGCTGCAGTGGCAGAACAACTTCCAAGTACTGAATGGCATGCTATCAACTTCAGAGAGACATTTCATTCAAAACCAAGAAAAATCTTGCTAAGGTATATCATATTGCAGTCTGTGCTTCAAAAATGCTGTGAAACAGTGCCTAACAACGTCACTGCCTACCCTCGTCTTAAAGAAAAGCTCCACCAGGATCCTTTTTGCTTTCTTTTGTTTTTAATAGCCTCTTCCATCATCTTGTTTGATGAGAGGCAAGGCAGTGAAGGTACAGAGGAAACATTTCCCCACTGAGCCCCAAGTCACTTTATCAGAATACCTCTATGAGCAAAGGTTAAAAATTTAAGATGTGTGGCTTCTTCTCCCAAATAAGCTAACAAACTAACTTCTCCATAACACAAAGCTTTCAGCAGAGGCATGCTGAAGCCCGCAGCAACAAAATGCAGAAAGAATTAGTTTATTTTTCTTAGTGCAGACCAAGCACTAGAAACCTTTTGAGAGATGTGACCCAGTTAACACTTTCTCTAAACCTTCTCAGATGGTACTAAGATACGCATTCAATACAACTAGTTTTTTCTGTGATGTATTTGCTACAGCAGATTAGAACTGTACAAATGTAAAATAAAAACAAAGTAAAAATAAAAGGATGGATGTTGATACAAACCTTGCTACTTCCATCAACCTTTTCAGTCTCTAAATTCTGAATTTGTTTCTCAGCGGCCTCAAGCTGCTTGCTAAGTTTCTGGATTTCCAATTTACCTTCAGAATTGGCTTTCTGAAGTGCAGCAAGGTCCAAAAGCTTTTCTTCAGCAGCTTTGATCTGTGGTGTAAGACTATCAATAACTTTGGTTTGTTCATTGTACTTGGCTTGCAGTACCTCTAGCTCCTTTACCTTTATTTCAGCTTCCTGTAATTTGTTTAAAGTGTCTTCCATTTCTACTAGATGTTGATCTTCCACACTTTCCAGTTTGGTCTTCAGGCTTTCCAGGTTTTGCTCTTTCTCCTCTGTGACTGCCAACAGTTTTGCTTTCAGTGATTCAATCTCTTTTAAATGATGAGATTTTTCATTTTCCTGCTTCAGTTTTAAATTTGACATTTCATTTTCATAGTCTAATTTAATCTTCTCAATCTGAGTCTTTAACTCTGCAAATTCTGCTGTCTGAGCCCCTACACCTTTGCCGAAAGAAACTTTTAGCTCTTCCATTGCTTGCTGATGGGAGGCAATTGCAGATTCCAGCTTCGATTTCCACAGCTCTATTACATCTGAATTCTCCTTGTTGGCATGATCAAGCTTAGTTTTCAAGGATTCATTTTCTTTTGCCAGTCTCTCATTTGAAGCTGAAAGTGATTTGATCTCTTTCTGCAATGCTTCTTCACTAATTCCAAACTTCTCTTTCAGTGAATTCATCTCACTCTGATGTTCCTTGCTAACTGCTGCCATTCTTTCTTGCAAAGAACTTATTTCTTGTAACAACGAAAGAGAAGTGTCCACATCATCAATGTGTTTACTAGACTCTAATCTCCCTCGAAGCTCAGCTACTTCCTTCACCCGCAATGCTAGATCTCTTTCTAGTTCCATGATGCGCGATTTTTCTGATACCGTGGCCACCTACGATTAACAGCATTTTAAAAAAAAGAAGAAAGAATTATAAAAGATATGTTTAATATAAAGACACTTAGGCCTCACTGAAAAGAAACTACCAAGTGTTGCAAACTAACATCATTAGCGTATTCTTACCAGCATTTTGGATTAGAATACCTTTGAGTTTCATTGTCAACTCCTACTTCTATGGAAATTCTAAAGAAACATTAAGTAAAAGCAAATGCTGCTTTTATATGGAAGGCTGTGAAATAAGACCAACTGTTGTTTCATTTATGGATAAATTATTGCTTCAAAAAAAAGAAAACGTCCACGTCTCTTACGTGCGTATTATATCCTTTCTGAAGGATAGGAAATTATTTAAATTCATTTTTCTGAAGTTATCTAGAAATAACAACTTGCTAAACAACTTACAAACTATGTTTATGTATATTATCAATGTTTAACAAAATGTTTCTCAGAACCATTTTAAAGCAGACTGAAAAAGAAAGGAGAACCCCAAGGTCTTTATTTGTTAAAATAATTGCTTCCAAATTCATCTCATGCCAACCATGAGACTGTCAGAGAAAAATACAAATACATTTTTAGCCTACAGACCCTTTGAAACTCCTTGTATATCCACTCCATTGATCCCTCTGAAAAATTGTCCTCACATTACCTGAGCTTTTCACTGACTGTTGAAGCAGCTTGTGGTATGGAAAAGCATGCAAAGCTACCACAATTATTTCTAATTAGGAAGTTACTGTTTCAACCTCCTTATTATACCAACATCCTGATAAAGATATTACTTACCTGCCATTGCTTTTCAAAAGTACGTATTATAGAGTACATTCTTGGTTTTATAATATTCATCCCTACCTTAACTTCAAGAAAAGCTGCATGTGTGAGCATGAATATCTCTATCCTTAAGAACTGACATCTCCTGAACTTCTGACCTGGGACAAAGTATGTCCAGTAATGTTTTGACAGGCAACAGTATTACTAATGCTACTGGGATATCCATGAAAAGCTTATGTCATGGGTGGAAAAAGAGAACTAAAAAGCCACTGCAAACCATGATTTAGCAAAGCAAGTAGTACAACAACTATTTAAGACCTCAGAAACCAAGCCCCTAATACTAAGTTTGTGTTAAAAGCATTGGCACAGTTGATCTTACTTCTTTTGGATTTAATGAACTTTGCTAGTTCTAAAAATGAACGACTGAACATTCTACGATTCCTTTATGTCAATTCACAGTCCCATTTGCTACTTTTGACTTGGATTCAAGTATTAATTTTGCAGTTTTAAGACATCTTACCTGAATTCTTCTGAAGAAATGAGTGTACATATAGAGGCATACACACACACAACACTGAAGCTCAAAATTAATGCTAATTTTTAAAAAGTGTTCCAGCTACATCTATAGCAGGTACTGATCATGGCAGGAGCAAGGATATGTTTCAGCACGTGTTACACCCAGCGGACTGTGTCATCAGAAATCTTCCACAACACAAATCAGTCTTGTTATTTAAATAGTGAAAACCATTACCCTAGTGTCTTCTAACTCCCTCTGGAGTTTGTCAGCTTTGTTCTTTTCAAAAAGCAGGCTCTGTTCAAGCTCCTTAATGCGGGCATGCTCCAGTTTGGTCTGCGTCTGTTAGTAAAAAGGGAAAGGAAGAGAACACAACGGTGCCACCATCACATGCCAGCACAAGAGGAGGGAGCCACATGCAGGCCGTGCTGCCAGAATCTTCTACCAATGATGAGCAGAGAAGATGCAGTGGATAAAATGAACAGGGAAATGCTATGGATGAGAAAGATGGACTGAAAGTGTAAATGGATTGATGTGTAAAAAAAAAAAAAAAGTAAATAAAAAATCACAAACGAAGAAATATGAACAAAAAAGTTTCATGCAGCCAAGTAGAAGTTATTTATCAGTACATGAAGTTTTCAGCACAAATTAGAATAGTTATGCAAAAAAATATATGTGTATATATATATCTATACCTGTTCTAACAGGATGATAAGTCCCTTTTCCTTGTCATTCCACTAACTTTTTTCTTTAATGTATTTGGCTTATTTTATATATCATTTAGTTACTAACCACGGGACAAAAATTCACCACTGAAGCTCAGGTGGTAAATCAAAACTTTGTAACTTTTTTTTTTTAAATAGTAGCTGTATCTCAAGTCTCAGCCATAAAAATCGTTTTGGCCAAGGCCTGGGAACATTAAGGTTCATTTGTCACTATGTCATGAATTATTTGTATAGAAATAGAAAGAAAAATGGTTGTCTGCAGAACCCTCCTAGTTTCTCCCCCTCCTCCTCTTTCAGGAAGGAAGCAAGCAACAAGTAAGATTCTCCAAAACCAGGTAAAAAAGTACATCAGTCTGGTTGCTCTATAGTTACTGAAGTCTAAATAGATTGAACAAGATGTGGAAGTAAGGAAAAAAAAAAAAAAAGGTAAGATCTTTGTAATTCTAATAGGTTCCTAAAGAGAAGCAGGAAGCAGATGAAACTAAGTGAGCAGGCACCTCCTGCCTTTTGCTTACAAAGAGGTAGACTTTTTAGCAAGAACACACGATGTCAGATATTCTGGCTTGATACCCAGATACTCCCAGAGGCCCGCAAGAGAGCTTGAAGTTTGAGAGATGCAGGTAAGTCCAGCAGCTAGTTCAAATCTGACCTGCACCTCTGAAGTGGGGAAAAGGGGCCGGGGGGTGGAGGAAAACAGAACAAAGAAATATAAAGAGGTAAGAACCAGGTGCCGTGCTTATTTCTGAAGTGCCAAAATTTGAGTACTGTGTCAATCTTGACAGGTCACTGTTAGTATAAATTTACTAAACAATCCAAATTAAAAGGATTCTGAAAGTCTGTTGTTGCTTCGCAGTGTCTTTTCCAAAAAGAACAGCTTTTCAGGGCTTGCCCACATCAAGAGTAAGGCGGATGTCCAGAAGAAGACCGAATGAAGTTCTGCCGGGTAGGCTAAGATGCGTTTATTAACCGAAGAAGCTGCATCAGTCTTGATGAATGTTCTCCACACACCTTAACTGCTGCAGTTAATTCACTGCAGAACACAGCAACCCCCAAACCCTATGAACTACTACTAACAGAAGAGAGTCCTGCAACCTGAACAGCTACCCACTGAACACCGGATTGAAAGAATCCGAAAAGGCAGGAAGACGTGCGAGTAATTCCGAAGCCACGCTGCTGCCAAAGCCACAGCACAGCAGCGTGTGCACGGCTGGCAGGACACTGCTGCTTCTCTGATCTTTGTAATATGATATTTTAAAATCCCTCCAGAACTGTGTTATTTATAGAGTGACAAGCTGATTAGTACTGCCTCCAACCAGCCACAGCAGTTAAAGATCTTGTGTATTCTCGGCAGAGCAAGTGGGACGGGGATGAGCCTCTTGTTTTGCTTCAGGCCTGTTCTCCTCCAAGTATTCCTTCTGACAGCATCAAGTTATCTTCTTTCCCAAAAGCATGCAGACATCTGGCGGTTTAATTTTTTTAACATTTTCCCAGCTGAAAACAGTTGGCTGTTTTATTATGTAGTTACTAGGTCCAAAATACTAAAACCCACAAGTGCTACAAGTTGCTTCTTAGATTTGTCCATTTTTTTGAAATTCCGTAGCAGATTTGTTTCTCTATCAGTGGAAGATCTTCAGTGTATATGGCAAAAAACCCACCCATGAGAACACAGATTACTGTTTTTGCCTCCCACAGCCCTCGAAAATGGAACTAAATATTCTAAAGGGAAGTAACAATGTTTTGTAAGCGGCTATAATTCAGTCCTCTCTCTGAGACAGGTTAGTATTAGTTCTGAGCCACAAAATTGTAAGTCTGAAAAGTAATCTATTTTTAAAAATTGAGTGTTCATACCTTCCTTGCTCTAATTCACCAATGGGATCTATTAAAAACCAAGAACCCCCAAACCGGATAGTTGCAGAATTCCCCCCGCATGACTTTGCAAAATATGCTATCTTAAGTTTTGCTATACTACATAAAACCCAAACCTTTGATCATTTATTTTATAGACATTGCTTTACTACTGCAAAGATCCTATATTCCATCACTGTTTACTGAGGTTTTCTTTAATACCATCTTATATATTACGAAGGGAAATAAGTTAAAATCCTACCAAAATGGAAATAAAAGATTAAAAAAAAGCAAACCCAAAACCCCAAAATTCAGAGATCTTTGCTGGATGCCTTTTTCCCCATTTAGGGCATGAGGGATTATCCTTTAAACAAATCTGGTTTCCAAGGGACAGGCTGCAGTTTCCCTGAGGTAAAAATCACTGCAAAATTTTGAATCACTCAAATTTCTCTCTTGATCATCTAGAGAGAAATGTCTAAATGATTATGTTTCTTTTTGAGGAAACCGAGAGCACAGTAAACTGAGAATAGCAGAGTACTACAAAAAGAAGAAAATAATTTGATTGTAAACCTTAACTTGGATGGGAAAGAAAAACAGAAAAGGGGCGGGGGGTGGGAAATCAACAACAAAGGAAGCATCTTCACCTTCTCCAAAGCTTCGCAGTTAGATTAAGAGTGATAGGGAAATGGGACGAGCCTTACTCTGCCTTGAACCTTAAAGAATTCCACTCAAATAAACTTCAGAGACTAGTTATCAGCTATTTCCAGCACTTGTGTATTCTAGCTACTCTTTCACTTCAAAATAAACCTTACTATTAAGTTCTCCATCTGTAGGTCAAACCGTGAAATTGTGCTGAAGCTATAAATGCTGATAATCATTCTAGAACCGGGGCAAGACAACCTTCAGTCCCTTCATGCTGGGGTAACAATCACGGAACACGACTGAGATCATGAAGCGTTAGCCTAGAAACTAAGTGATCACACACTTCTCTCCGTTAGAGAGTGAAGACGTCCATTTTTATGGAAAAATCAGAATAGGGAAATCAGGAGTAAAGATAGGATTAAACAAGGAGTGCACAAAACAAGAGAAAGGAAGGGCACATGCAGATTTACTTCTAACACACCGTGAGCCTGATTGGAAGAATAGAGGAGACCCAGATCGCTGAAGTAGCTTCGCAAAAGGAACACCTAAGAATGCACAGCAGGAAACCAGTTTTAGTCTTGAGAACTTCCTGTCTCGGCTGGGGATGCAGCAGAGGAGGCAGCCTGGGATAAATTTTCCTGAGTCCAATCGAAGAGAGGGCTTTTAAATTCCACTATTCTGAGCTATGGAAGCAAGAGGGCTGCTTAAATGTCTTCTAAGGCAATTTCTGTTATCCAGTAACATATATTTTTCCTACATAATTCAAAGAGAAGCTACATGAAGATACAGTAAAATCAGACAGCTTTGCACACTAATTCTTCAGATGTTTTTAATCATCTCTCCCCTTAGCATTTCATGCCAAAAAAAAGAAACAAATAAGGGGAGGTGGGGAACATACCGATTTTTTTCCTCAGAAAAATTAATCGGCTAATTGCATACTGCATCTGTTGAACAGCAGTAGGAGCTCATAGGAAAGCATGCAGGATTTTGTGAAGAAAGCAACTAAAATCCTACATTTAAATGAAAGATACTTCGAGATGCTGGACAGTCATTTTCTACAAGCTCCTATACTCTTCAATTAGTTGCAGAGTTTTTGACCCTACAGAATTCTAATGACACACTCGCCCTCTCTTCAGTTAATGGGGATTACAATGTTTAGTCATTACACACATTCTTTTCAATAAATGTTGTAATTGCTCTGAAAGCAACATGCACACAAATACTAGAGTCAATGTTTCAATAACAGATTATGCAGTTAGTGAATAAGTATAAGCATTTTCTGCACACAATCTGTTAACATGGGATGTCTCTGCACATTTAAGTGCCCTCTTACATTTTCTGGGTCTTCCGAAATCTGCCTCTTTCGCTATCAGTAAAATTAAAAAACAAACAAACAAAAATATTTCACCTGCAGATGTAGCACTATCATTCCAATACAAACAACAGGATACATTTCATTATTTTGAATTCAGTTTAAACTCGAAGTTATGCAGCTTGACAAACCAGAGTCTTTAAGATGGTTTGCCATGACTATTGACTGATTTAACAAAAAATAAAAAATTAAAATTTTCCATGGACTAAACAATAAAAGGAGCATTTTATGAAGAATCTAGATAGGTATCTTAGAATGAATGGAAGACTAAAATAAAAGAAATGTTATATGAAATGAATAATTTTCATAAGGCTAGCACTTTAATCATAAATGGTTCACAGGAACACAAGTTAATTAAGTTTGTACTTCATGCTGTGCAAGAAGTTCTAGTATTTTTCTGATTAGACAACAAGAGTAGAACAAGTAAAAACTATCCTGCTTTTTAATTTGAAATTTGGGATAAAAATTGGCAGTGTGCAAATATCTGAGAGTAATCCTTCATTAAATGTTTCCTATTCCGATTGTGTAATAACATACTGTGTTTTAGCGCAACATTGTAGTTATACAAACAGTAGAAAGATAAAAATTGCACACATTACTTGCTGTTTAGATTTTGTGTACAATACTCTCAGGACAAAACATTCTTTGTTAATCAATCTTCCCAAAGGAAAGTACAGGGATTATTAAAAAAAAAAAGATAGAAGACAAACAGGACTAGTCTTCAATATTAATTTTCAAAAGGCATAAACATTAACTTGCAATTTCATGAATGATTTTTTGTTGGTGGTTACTTTTAAGGAATTTCAGAAACATTAGTAAGATATAATATAAAATAGTGTAAAATATCAAAAGATAAGAGTTTTCTATGAATTAATTTAATTAGTCTAAACAACTACAGCCATTCCACAGTACAACCCTTGCTAACATGTGTAACTGAATTAAGGGTGCAATCCTGTAGTTTCAGGACTGTTAGCTTCCTCAAGGACTACAGTACTGGGAATCATTTTCATGTGCTTTGCATATGCTTGGACCAGTATTGCATCTATTAATCACGCCTGCCTTTCTCTTCTAGAAAACAGTACATTTAATCTGAACTGATTGCATTTCTGTGTCCTACTATATATCCTGTTTACAAAGCTGGAGATATTTTACCTCTAGGTCTCCTTTGGTAATGGATTCTTCTTCCACACGGAACTGAAGGTCTTCAACTTTCCTGTGGGGACAATTCATTAAAATTCAGACAACTTTGAAAGAAAATGCTTTCAAGCTCACTTTTCAGCGGAAATCAGAACTACAGAGACGACATTCTGATTGTACCAGCAAACTGTGAGAAACATTAAGGAGAAATCTCTCACAGGAAGCATCAGAGAGAAGGAAAGCTGCTTTCTTTAAAACACAACCACTGACAAAGTAAGGCATCAGTCTTCCTGCAGCTCCATAAAGTCTTTTGTTGCATTTTTGGATGAGTTAAAAAGAAAGCCTTCAAGTCATCATTGATTCTCTCACTCTTTCACCCTTCTACATGTCCTCAAAAGATGTGACCCAAATGAACAGTTTGATCTCACATTCTGTATATTCTACCATTCACCTAAGAAACAGTCAGAAAGTTAGGACACATCCAGGATACCCACAGGCCTTTGCTGGTCACCTTGCATCAAAACTTTAGCATAGTCAAACATATGTTGGGTGTCAAGATGAAGTGCAAGATGCAGAATGGGAGCACAGGCAAGAACATGGACTTGCCTTGCCCATACAGGAGCCTTAGAATGAGAAGACAGAGGTGAGAAGCTAGTATCTGACTTAAAGTAAAATTTGTAAAATGTTATTTCTCCCCCGCCACCTCTGGTGTACCCCAATGAACAAGGGCCAGATCTCCTCCTTTTCCCCTTGATCCTTTCAACACTGTAAGATGTTGCAAAGGAAGAGACAAGCATGTCTTCTTTCCTTTGAATTACACACATTGCTGGTGCCCGCAGCTTAGCTGACAGATGTAGAAATCATTGCATCAAAGAGAGTTACAAGTGATGGATGTCTAAAATAAAAGGACAATAAGAACTTATTACTGGAAGTGGGTGTCACCAATGTGCTTTGGGAAACAGAGGATTAAAGATTATTTGACTTAGAGTCACTGCTGAGACTGACTTGAATACATATTACAGAGGACTTTCAAAGAAAATAAGCCTCGAGTGGTTAGGAGGAAGGACAAATATTACAGTGCCAAAACCATGAAATGTTTTCCTGGCTGTAGGATGTCACTTTGGTGAATGGTCAGCAGGCGCAGAGCGGCACTGTCATGCTGCCTAGCAACACGCTGAAGGTGAGCTCAAGGCCATGGAGGATTGCGGTAAAACAGACCCCCACTGACCTGGCACTCAGCGTAAGTAGGTCCACAGCCAGGCTACTGGAGGTGCTGCAAAGCTGTTTTGTTTTGTGGGTTTTTTTTTTCTTTTTTTAAAATTTAAAAACCCACTGCATTACTTTGTAGAGAATATATAAATAATTCCAGACCTATGTCTACTGCTTGTTTTGAAAATTCAGTTAGAGTGGGTCCCATAAAAAGGCAGCATAAAAATTGTAAATGAATTGCCCAGGGTTTACCATTGCATTTTCTCATCTGTGATTTCTCGTTTTAGGCAGGCCTTTCAGACACGTTGACATCTGACTGATTTCAGGGGCACACACAAGCCTACAGGACAGACTCACAATGGGTTTCTAAATAGACTCTTGCTTTTCAAAAGTATTCCAAATCCACCAAAACAATTTATCAGATTATTTACTCACCTAACCTTGACCCAACAATTTATCAGGTTATTTCCTTTCCTAACCTCACCTCACCTATTTGGTAATCTCAGTTCCTTTCCTCAAATGGTTATGAAAAGGAATTAGAAAAAGCATTAAAATTAATGGCTTTAATGATTTCCCTGTAAAAGACAGACCCTACCTAGAATCACATGACTAATATTAATAAATTATTCACAAGAGAACTAAACTGTAAATTCCTAATCCAGCATTGTCAGGAAATGAGATTACCAAAATTTTCATTTGGAAGTGGAAGAAGAGTGTTTCAGGAAGGTCAGATATGAGCCATTAATTTCATATGAGTAGGAATAAAATCCTTCATAACAGAAAGCAATATTAAAAGGAATGAGTTGCATGAAATTCAGCTATAAACAATAGTTATAGCCTCTAAGCAAGTCCATTTCTCTGGCTGTCCCTCCCCAAATTTAAGAGAGGGTGTTTTTTTAGTAGTGATTTTAAGAAACTGCAATATGATTTTATACAGTAATTGCCCATATCTGCATTATTCAAAATTTGTTTCAAATTTGAAAGTCACCACAGCATTTGCTTTTAATGCAAAGTTTGTTTTTAACAGAGTTATACTAATGAAGATGGTTTTGGGTTACCTTTTCTCTTCCTCAAGCTGATTGAGAAGCTCCACTTTCTCCCTATCAGCAGCCTCCACCATAGCTCGTAGCTGGTCCATTTTTGCTTCCATCTCCAGTACATGCTAATCAGCAAGAGGAATAAGAACAAAATCTGCTACGTTGGGCAATACATGAATTTTTTCCAAGTTGTGTATCTATACCTCAGTAATCACAATTTGGTAAAGTGATGGGCCACAGGACAGGAATGCTATCATATTCAAATACGTATATAATAAAAGATTGTAGAGATGTGTAAAGAAGTTCAACAAAAATGAGTTAAATGAAGTAGATTTGCTATCTCGTCAAGCCAAAGCTCCCACAAGGAAGATCTCACAGATATGGACTACTTTAGTTTTAGAACACCACCTCTTACTCCCAGATCTTTTCAATAAGAAAACACAATTTTGGAAATTAAGTCAACTGTATTAACACCTCTATTTTAAGAACAGAAATACCGCTCTTACCCGATCATGTCCATCGCGAACAAGTGCTAATTCCTGCTGTATTTCCCCTACATGACTGGTTGCTTTTGCAACTTCTGCCCTCTCCAGGTCCCTTTCTGCCAGGAGCTGTTCAATGTGTTGCTGCTTCTCCTTCAGTGCCTCCTGCAGGGCTGTGGTACCAGAAATTTTTCTTGCATACCGGGAGGATGTTTCTGTCAACTTCACAAAGTGAATACATTAAAAAAATCATTCTGTATCGAGTGAAAACAAGGGATATCTCCAGACTCTACAAACATTGGGTTAGTAAAGCAAATGATTTCCGTTACCTACAGTACCTTCTCCTTTTACATTTAAATTACTTCAATTTCTAGAATTTAACAATGGCCATACATGTGTAGTAAGACTACTTTGTAGCAATCAGCAGTTAGTGTGTAGGAGACAGAAGGGCTGAAGTGAAAACAAAAGACTGGCCTCAATCGAAGGTGTGCTTAGTAGACTCACACGAAGGCTAGCTCATTATGTTTCTAAGCATCTTTTTGCATTAAAAAAAGAAAGCAAGCCTTTTAGCAAGTTCAAAACATTGTGCCTCCAGTTATCAAGTCATCACCTTGGGTCACCAGCAACAGTATAACACTTCCAAATGCTCTATCAAAAGCTTTTGGAACTCCAACTAGCATTTGGCACCTCTACTATGGCAACAAAAACATCCAGGATGAAGAGCATTTACCTTGACCCAAAAAGCCAGCCTTACAGCTAAAACCTTGTGAAGAAGAACAGTTGGCATCTGATTAAAAGATATGTTTATACCACTTGGAATTAAATTACTTCTGGAAAAAATATCTGAAAGATTAAACTTAAAGAGTATAGATAAAAATGAACCTGTCTGGAGAACTATAGCTAAAATGAACCTTAGGGTTTTCCTTGACCTTGCATGATCTCTGCTCCATTGAATGGAACCAGTGTCAGTGAAAATTCAGCATGACCCTGTCTTCTACTTTCTCAAGAGTTTTTGAGCTAGAAGGGAAAGTAAACAAACTGAAATTATGCAGTAAAAGTGAGCAATAGTTGTGAAAACAGCAAAAACTGGACCGAAAAAAAATCCAGTACAGCTTATAAAAACCAACTTTAAGCTTAACAGCTCAGAAATTTGTCTAAGTATTAAATAAGAACGACATCTCAGTTAAAGCCTTATTTAAAACAAAACCCAATACATGAAGGCTTGCTCTTCTGTCATGTTAACCTTTAGGGCTCTCTAATAGTATTGCTCAAGAATAGGAGCATGTTTGTCCCATGATCCTTTCAGAGATCAAAATGTTGAAGAATAGTTGCCATATACAGCCTGGAATGCTAGCATTGGACAACATCCCCAACAGAAAGCATAACACAGACGTATTCTTCTGTCACCACAAAAACACACTTCCCCTTCTGTTACCATGATTGCTACACAACATCTCTAACTTGTCTACTCACAGCCTTGAATGATATGTCTACAATCCACTGCAAATGCTGTATCAAGTGACTGAAAAGGTACGCGATAGAATAAACCATCTTCCACTTTGATGCTTAGATTAGTTGTTTCAGATCCTCTCAGTTTCTAAAAGGTATCTTATTCCAGAATGTGTTGCTTTGTAAGAATTCTAGCTCTTCAAATCAAACTTGGCTTAATTCCCGATTCCAAAAGATTTCAGAGAAACATCAACTTCCTTCAGACTTGGAAATAAATACAAATTGCATCAGACAGCCCTCTTAAATCATTAGATCACCTACTTTGACAATTGCTTTTTTCACACAGGAAGAAGAAAACAGCAACAGCCCTGAATAATTGAGAAGACTATATAATGAGTCCAGCGATTTCCAGATAAGTCATAATTTTCCTAGAAATTGAAGCGTGAAAAGTCTGCTGTGTCAAAACCGATTTCAGGAAATCTTGTTTCTTCAGCAGCTTAACTTTTAAAGAAAAAGTGGCAGAATTATTTTGACAGTCCTTTTAACTTGGACGGTAACCAAATGTTCATCTTGCCTGAGAAAAGGAGTTGGAAGAAAGCTGGAATTTTGATTCCAGAAATAATGGATTACAGAAGCTTTGTATTTTACAGCCCAAAACATGCAAAAGCCCTGAGGCACAGCACAGAGGCAAAATAACCAAGTATATTGTAGGCATTCACAATGTGTAACCATACTCTTGTTGCTTAGAGTATCATAGCATATGGAATAAAACGTAGAGGCCCATATTAATGCTTCACTGTCCGCTCATGAAGCCTGCCCTGAAGCCGCGGTAGCACCGTATGTTAGCGCAAGGATTTCAAACTAGGGGGCACTCTGCAGCTGGAAGTGCAACTTCCAGGATGGATTAAGTAATAAAGTCCCACTGTTTGTGCCAAACAAAAATACCTTACGTGCTTTGTGATAAGGTATTAACCCTGTTGCCCTGACCAACTGTTGACCTCTGTTCGCTTGTAATCTGCTTCAGTTTTGAAGGACAACAGTAAGTCACCTCTCTGTTCTGCACCTGCTGGTCAGTAGGACAGTATGCCAGCTAACCAGTTCCAGATCAGTGGGAGTGATCTCTTTCTAATTAGATGTATTTATGTACTTTTGGTTTAAAAAAAAAAAGGAAAAATCTAGGGTGACCGTGGAAAAAACCAATTATTTCTATGCTTTTAATTGCCTTAAAAGAGAGACGTTTTAAAATTCAGCTTTCCCAGAAGATTTCCATTTTACTGCTGCAACCCAAGATTAGGACATTTATGTAACAGAGCAACTTTAAAAGGATCCATAGTAAGTGTATTAAGTGGAATTAGTACTGTGTTAGAATTCACCTGAGCCACCATACTTTGCAACATTTAGCCTTTATGAATTCATAGGATTAAAACCAAATCTAAAAGAAAGAGGCTTCTTGTCAGCAAACACTTGAGAATTGCTACTTCTGTATTTCTCAGCTGACTCATCTCTTTAACAGTAAAAGAAAACCTTTTACATTTTAGACAATTTGAAGCTTCCTGCTTAATAAAACAGGTTTGATCTACAGAAGCCTTAGTGCATATCAGATCCTCAGCCACAAACCCCATGTGACAGAGGCAGTGCTAGGAAAATGAACAACTAAATGGAGATTCCAGTCAGGAAACATTGATGCCTTCTCATTTTGTTGCCATCACAAGCCCCTTTCTTACTGCAATAACTCAGTTAGCCTGAATTAGCTGTGTAAGCTTAAATATTCAAATATTCAGCTACTCTTCAGGGCTAGCTAAGATTTCCTTCCTTCATGCATGCTTTGAATGAAAAAGAGAGCACAATTAAACGTGTACTGTACTTTGTCCAAGACTTGTTCTATTCTCAATTTATGCAAGTAGACCACAGGCAAGTGCCACGTGGATTCCTGCTTGGGAACGTAAAGCATGCAATAGAAAAAGAAGCTTACTAGTCCTGTACGGCTTGGCTTGCTGCTTACTGAAGATGCCACAGAACTGAGAGAGCTCAGGGAAGATGCACTTGGGCTACGTTTCAGGGCTGTGGGAGTCGCAACCACTTTTCGCACAGTTGTCTTTGCTTTCGCTGGTGTGGTTGACGGGAATCCAATCTTCGTAACTTTGTGGACTGGAGCAAACAAACCATATTTTGGCTGACACTGAAAATACCTTTAAAAAAAGTAGACAGATGAGAGTAGTAAATTAACTTCTGTCTTTTCAGACCCATGGTCTGGCTTCACAAAGAATTCTAGATCAATAGTCTAAAAGTATTAAAGGACAGGGTTACAGCTGGTGACAATCTAATCTATATCAGATTGCATTTTTTTATTAACACTAGATTTGGAAAGGGGACTTAGAGACTGAAACAGCATGATTATATCAGACTTCAGAAATTCAACAAAGCAAACTCTTGAGTTAGAGCTGTTTCCTAAAAATTCCACTCAGATTCAAAGTTTAACATGCATAGCTTTCCTCTTCGATACATTCCTCTGAGCTGCCAGCAACAAATGTAATAGCAGAGTTAAAAATAAAAATAAGATTTTAATTAAATCAAGTAGGTTTATATTTTACTACATACATACCTATACATGTATGCATATTGGATTATACAGAACATGTATCTTTGGTTATATATAAACAAAAGCCACTTAAAATTTTAAGTTGTGATCACCTATTTTAAGGTGGCACAATCCTTGTAGAACCTCTTTTTAATGAGTTAAAAGACTGTTCCTTTATACCAAATGAGAAAGTAAGTTGAATTGTAATGTGAATTAACGCTTTCTAAGTGCGACTTATTGGAGGAAGCAGCTACACTGTTCCCAGTCTTTACAATGAGGCAACTATTGGTATAGGAGCTTTCAGTTCCTGTGATGCAGGAAGATTTCCCTTAAGTTCAGCTATTAGAAACCCAGAGATATTTTCTTAACTGAGCATTCATTCCAAGCTGAGAAACCAAGCAGACATTCAAAAAGCAGGAAATTGTGTTTTCCATTACCAGTCTATGAATAAAACTCACACGGGAGTAGGAGAGATCAACTAATCCCATGAATGTGGGGTTGATGCAGACTTTCAGAGATGCGTAGGCATCCTAAAATTCAAGTCGCTGTCTAACGACCCCCCCAACTACCAGCAGCAGACAGTCAGGTTTACAGCCTAACTACTTCCCTTGATATAAAGTTTCATGTAAGATATTAAAAAGCCAAACCAGAATATAGACATGCAAAATCTTGAAGGCGGCTGCTATCTGATGATAGACTAACCTTGTTCCAGCAACAGCTCCATCATTCTTTCCCAGAGGTTCATCCAGTTCTACTCCACACCATTCTCCTTTAGCAAAGTCAGTTTCTCCCAAGAAACGCACAACTCCAGCTTTTGTTCCACCAACCTGAAGCAACAAGACACACAACTGCACTTAATCCTTTCCAAATTAAAATACCAAATAGAACATAAAAAGCTTTCAGTATAATCATGTTCACAAAGCACATTCATGATGTGACCAGTTCTTACCTCAAGCTGCATATTCTTTTGCCTATGAGTTTGTTTTATTATGTTGAACAGATCTTCACTACCAAATCGTTTACAGAAGGGGCAGGGGGGATATATCAATTCCCTAGCGTTTAGTTCTGTCCAATTTGGTAGTCAGAAAGTTTGTCACGATTGAAGGCCACAATTCTATTAGGTGACTTGATATGGCTATAAGATTAAAAATACTTTTAACAACACTCAGTATAACCAGTGTACTGAATGCAATAGATTTGTACTATAGTTTCTTCAAATTTCTATCAGCAAATAAGGATTTCTAAGAACTGCTTATTTGTTATACTATTTCTGTGAGGAAAACTAGAAGAAATGAAATGAGAAGTCTTTCATATTTTCTCTAAGAAATAGTTCAGATAAACTATACAGTACAACCCTCTTGCATTTAAAAGAATTTATATAAAGCATAATGCTGTGCACTTTGAAAAATTTTAGATGCAAAAGGCTATTTGAATTCTCAGGGGAGAGAATAATTTTCTTTATTTTTTTTCCACTTTTTTAAAAACAAAACCCAAACCAAACAAACACTCCTAAATGGAAGATTAAAAATCAGTTGTTTTCAAATTTAAAATATTAAATCTTTACAGCCATTCCAATTACTTACAATGTCTGCAAGATACAGTTTTTCATAATGCCCAGGGAAGGGAAGAATTAAACTAAGCGAAGAAGCAAAAGGTGTTCAATGTGACTGACACTTGCCAAGAAGGGCCACAAGCCAAAACTGCCAGATTCTTGCAGGTCAGAATGACAATATGTTGTGCCCTGTTTGTGTGAAAATCTGTTCAGCCTGCATCTAGCATTATGAAAACAAGCAAATGTCCATGAAAACCTCTTCAGGAGATTCACTGGACTCAACACAGACATTTTCAGGGCCGTTGCTTTTTTCACTTGTATTTTCCAGCACACATTATACAATGAGGAATATTCTGTAGCCTTAGCAGAAAGGTTGGATGTAACCTGCTAACACAAAGACTGTGATTTTCCTTTTTATATACTAAAAAGTATATTAGGATTTCACATAATTTTTACATTAGACATTCTATTTCTTGGGGGGAGCGTCCCATGATAACTAGAGAACAAGCAGCTTCTTGTGCCATAAATTAAGGTGCATGATCACAATACACTAGATAATTCATATTAATACATTTGGGAAGTGATCACACAAGAGGTTAACTGTGAGGAATCTAGGAATGGAGGACATTAGCTTGCATGAAAGCACTAAGCGTCCAGAAAGTACTAAGGTAGTGCACAGTAGATGCCACACACATTTGTGCTCTAGCTACTGGCTCATCAAGTTCCCAGAGCCGACAGCTCTGTTAGCAATTCAAGGCTTCAGCTGATGAGGAAAAAAAAATCCTAATCTACGCTACCCTCAGAAAGCCAGGGAAGAATAATTAACCCTTTTTGATATTACTAAAATGAGAAAGCTGACAGAGACATCTTTCATCCACATTCAAGGTGGAAGTCCCCTTCTCCTCTCTCATTAGGGGCAGTCTTGAAACAACGTTGAGCTTGCAGATCACCTTTATATCTCGGTCTAAGTGACAACATAGCTAATTATTACTCTTCATGGAATAAAAATACACAAACTTTACAGTTATCATGACTCAGCCTAATATAGTAACTAGTAGAACGTTTGGTATTTGGTGTTCTTGGCAGAGAACACACAAACTTCCCTTCTCAAAAAACAAGCATGAGTACTGTCCTAGAAAAAAAGAATCGTAACCAGCCAAAACAGTCACATGGAATCCAGATCTTTGTGGCACAGTGGTGAAGAGGGAATATATAACATCATTTGTTAGTATTTCCTGGGAAGAATTATTCCTTAAGTCCACACGTTATTCACCTTCACACACAACCTACTTTTTGTAGTAGTTTTCCATTAACATAAGTACAACCATCAAAATAAAATTTAACTTTTTCTCTCACGCTACTCGGTGTGAGAGAAAAACATGCACGTGTCTGCGCTACCAGTCCATACTAGGTCTTCCAAGTTGTCCTCCTTATTCCTTTTCTAGCAAGCTTGGGTTTGGTGGTTTTTTTGGTTGGGTTTTTTTTTTTCTTTAACAATAAATTTGGAAGACATGTTTAGGTGAAAAGACTGGTTAGTTCTGTGAGTACTGTTTCCCTATTCAATTTTGTGCTGTTCTCTGCCTCAATAAACAGAGCTAAACCAAAAGAGGCTGCAAAAAACACATTAAGGAATTATCAACAGGAAAGCTAGAACAATAGCCTAGATAAGGAGCATCCTTTCAAAGAGTAGTCAGGTTTGCGCCTGCACAGAGGGATTCCTCAGCTCCTTTTACAGAACTCTTTAACCAGGCCGAGGAATTTTATTGCAGTTTTGTGGAGTGGTGGGTGTTTTTGGTTTTTTTTTTTAAATAAACAATGTTAAGTCAATTACCAAAACACACATACATGCACAAAAAACCTTTCCATAGAAGGTAAATGGGGTACACAAGATAAGAGCTATTTGAAGCATGGTAGTGGAAAAGGATAACTAAATGCGAAGACTCCCAGAGACAGGAAAAACTGTTGCAATCCGTTTCCTCCAACTCAAACTGTAAATAAACCTCTAGGTAAGTAACGCTAGCTCCAGGATAATACAGCTTAAACTTGGGTGCAGAATATTCATTCCTTTTTGTTTCATACCTTGGCCCTGGTTATCTTCCACATTTAGGTAAAAAAAAAATGTATGGCACTGCAGCCACACCACAAACCGGGAGACAGGATCCAGTAAAAAAGCTCTGGCAATGCCCAGAGCCCGTTGGACCTGCTACGGCAATCACCGTGGATGTGCATGGGACTGCAACCCAAGGCCCGGTGGGAGTGCGCAAATGGAGGAATTCATATCCCGAGAACATATGGGGATGCACAACATGAGATCCCCAGGAGAAAGAGCAATGTGACTAGTCTTGTAACCATGGTACCAGGATTATTTTAAAACAAGATGCAAGGAAGAATGCCAAAGAATTTTTGGGTTTTTTCCAAACCTAGTCAGGCTTCTTTGCCTAACTGGCTA